GGATTTTTCAGGCGATGAAAGATATAGACAGGAATGGATGCGCTTTGTTCGGGAGCCTCAGGTGCTGCTTTTCGTTGTGGATAGTGCTGACACGTCAAGGATCACAGAAGTAAGTCAGTATCTTATAAGCATTCTTGAACATCCCAAAATAGAGGGGATTCCTGTGCTGATTCTTGCCAACAAACAAGACCTTCCTGCAGCCCTCAGTATAAAGCAGCTTGCCGAGAAGTTGTCGCTAGCACATTACACAGCAAACCCTTGCGCTTTCCAAAGAGCGTGCTCTTTGACCGGCAAGGGCCTTTACGAAGCAATTTACAAGCTGGCCGATATGGATACGAAAACTTCGCGGCTGAAGCGCAGTTTAAAAGAGTTGGGACCTACGCTGGAACTTGGAGGATTTTCGCCGGAGGCAATTAAAAGACTTCGTTCTAAGTCCATCACTGTTCGTTATGAGCAAATACAACCTCTGTTTTTTTCTTGAACTCAGTTTTAAGGGACTTGCGTCATGGATGAAGAGTTAACAGATTTGTTCTCTTAGTCGGCAATATTGCCGTTATCTCAGTGATGTCTGACAATCAAACGAAATTCAATGAGTCTTGAGACAATAGGTGCAATAGCAGGGTATGACAGGTTAAGCTAAAAAATTCGACTACTTTGGTTTTCGGAATCACGCCTGAAACTATCCTGATTAGGCTCGACCAAGTTCATACTTATCTCTTCATTATTCCTAGATACAAAGCTTTTGACAATTCTTGGTTCTCTTCTTTTTTAAATTCAAGAATGGTCTTTTATCTGCAAATTTTGATCGCTGTCGTATCTGCAGTACCTCAAGTACCCGGCTTGGCAGTGCACTGAGAAGTCGCTTTGGTTCGTTTGAGGTATTCAATTCCTAAAAAATCTGACCGCTTATCAACTTTGTATACATGTACATGTATTCTAGCTGACGTTGGCTAGAAAAAAGATTAACATACAGTTTTCAGCACTACAATATAAATCTAGGGTCTTAATGGGGCTGACCGTCAGCTATCAAACGGCCTAAAATTTAATAGTCAACCGTAAAAAACATGTAATTTTTTTGTGTGGTCTGTAATCAGGCGTAAAATAATGATATTATGATGAAACAGAAGAAAATTTCATGTTACTGTAAACCATGCTCAATTATCTGTCCCGTAGGAGCAAAATAACATAGAGATGAGACAAGCGCTCACTAAATCAGCTAACAGCAGTCTTGCAAGGTCGATTATTTAGCCTACCTATATTCCAGTTGAAAAAATGACCTTAGGGATGTCTCTTCCGATTCAGTTGTTTGAATTGACACACCTTAAAATGATGATATGAAAGAGGCATCAACTGAAAAAAATAAATGGTCTTTTAATAGATAGTCATGTGATCAGAAGGTAGTGACGCAATACTAATAGGATAACGTTATTCCAGATCATTTTAGGAAAATTTGTTTAATGAAACCCGAAAGTGAAATGCATTCTAAAAAACTTTGATAATCATATGATAAATAAGACAAAACGCAGTGAGAGTTTATCAACAGGAAAAAATGTTTCATGGCACGGCCGAAAACAAAATGTGACTTAGACATTCATCTTTACCCCGGGGGGGGGGTACTTGGGAAGTTTTTGGGTGGGTATGTGCCGCCCGGGTCTCCAAATTGGCACCCCGTTCTAGAAAAAATTTCCCCTAAAATTGATACCCCGTTCTAGAAATGGGCCAATTTTTTATACCCCGTTCTAGAATTCGCCCTAAAACTGATACCCATTTCTATGAATGGGCCAATTTTTTACACTCCGTTCTAGGGTGCAACAAGAGTACAACGGTTTGCTTGTTAACGCATTGAACCGTATTTTTAGAAGTAATCTGTCCTTGAATACTTTCAAATGGCTGCTTACAAAAGTGAAGCTTTCGTGCGTTCGAAATATTATACCCTGTTCTAGAAAACGCCTCTGAAATGGATACCCCGCTCTAAATCAGGAGCTTCAAAATCACGACTCCTTTGGGCGGCACATACCCGTATAGGTAATGTATGGGAGTACCCCGCCCCCCCCCCCACCCCAACCGGGATCTTTACCCCATAGCACTTAAAATATAATATATAACTGCATAAACACTTCGGCTTTATGATGCATTCATCTTCGTTTCATAGTTAAAAGTGTTAAACAGTTTCTTAAAACATCTAAAACTGCAATCTAGCGGATTTCCCGCATCAGTGCCTTTGAATGGAATTAATGCGGCCATTGTTTGATCTAGTGAGAGATGTTGTCACTGCGGTTTACCTCTAATCCGAGTAACCTACAGTAAAAAACCATCCATCTTTGTGGGTAGAAAGCAAAAATGGACTCATTTTTGACAAGTCAGTTTATACCTAGAATGCCTATATAATTTACAGCACATTTTTAAATGTAAAACTGTATAAGACGAGTAAGTTTTAACCAAGTACAGTGCAGACTACCCATAAACATTAGGGACACCCAACGACAGTTTTCTGTAAAAAATTAGAGAAAGGAAACCTAAAATTTTCGGATTCTAAAATGCCATGAAGAGAGGAATCAGAAAAATTCTCCCTCTCGTAAAACGTTAAACTGCACCTAAAATTTTCGAAAAATAACACCGAAGCCCTTGTAATTTCGAAAGGACTTAAGTTCCCCTAGGATGACCGAAAAGATAAAAATTTTCTAGCGCCGCATAGAAGGCATTTCTATGGATCTGAAAGAACAGTACACTCTGGATAGCCTAAAAAGTGTTTTCATCGCACTTTGGAGGAATTGAAACCGTCGCTGAAACGTGAGCGTTGCACATTCATGTGCTGTCGCACGTCTCAGATAAAAAAATTCAAAATTTAACGAATTCAGATAAAAAAAAAAATGAAATTTAACCGAAGTTAGAGTTTACCAAACTCTCATTTACATAAAAAAATGCAATTCTCATCAGGAAATGTTGAAAATCGTACCGTATATTGACCGTACACGCTAAAAACGCGACATCTTTTTATACTATAGCCAGTTCGTATTTTGTTGTTTAATATATGCATGGTTACGACAGCAGAAAGTCGTCGTTATACGGCGGGCAGTTAAATCCTTTGGCAACCTTTTAAGACATTCAAACTTAAGAATCAAGGACATTCAGCATGTTGAAATTAGAGCTTGTAACAGTTCTCAACTTTATGCAGGCATGCGTAACATCTCAGTCAACGTTAGTCGTGTTACAAGCTGAAACCAGTACGTCTCAGATGAAAAATTTAATAGCTTACAATATACTTCCGTTCATTGTGCAGCAATACTTTGACCGGGTACAAAATATTCCTCTTTCCCTTTTTAAAGGGAAACCGCATTTTAGTCTATTCATAGAAACAACATTCACCTTAATGTAATACTGTGGTGAATAAATTAATCAAACTGAAATCTTCAGCATATTATTCTGGAAAGTGTGTAGGATTTATTAGCTCATCTCAGCTTTAAGATAGGGATGAGATGATTTAGTGCACTCTCACTATATCAAAAGTCTTATCAATTGAGCCGTAAAGAAAAAGGTTTCCGATAGCCTGGAGCTAGTGGATTCAGGGGCACCCAACGAGAATATAGTTGAAAACCACTAAAACATAGCATTGTTAAACGTATTTTGGTATTTAAACAGTAGATATAGGCATATTTTTATCCCCTAAAAATGTTTCATCTGTTCGGATTTCCTAGCTGAAAGTCTAGTGATCCGAAAATTATAGGGATCAAAACTTACCTTTCCGAAAATTTCAGGCAGAAAAAATGCTCCCGAAAATTCTAGGTGACCTTTTGAGAGTAAAAATCCGTTAAAAATAGGCAATTATACCATATTTTAGATGTTCGAAAATCCTAGGAGAAGCAGGCAAGCAAGAAATTTTACAACAAATTTTCCGAAAATTCTAGCTCTCAAATCGTCTTCCGAACAGATATTTTTCCGAAAATTGTCGTTGGGTGCCCCTGTGGATTTTGCTGTCAGGCTAGTGAATGCTGTTGTTAACTTGCCCGATGGGCAAGTGATTTTTTTCGGGGGAACTCAAATTACAGAAGAACTAAAATCAATCCTGCTCATCAAATATTTTCGGGCTAGTTGAAATGACTTTCGGGCTAGTACATGTTAGCTGCAGATTGCCGGAATGGCAAGCTATAACTCGGCTGACTTTCTTTGCACCCTGCTCAGCATGATTTTTAGCCTGTTAAAAGTCGTTTGCCCCGCTAACATCGGGCTCGTTAACAAGCCAAAGCCTTTTCGAATGTTAGCGGCGCAAACAACTTTGTACATGCTAAAAACCACGCCAGAAAGACAGATCTGCTAGCAGCGGGGTACGATATTTCATGCATGTAAGATCTGTATGTAAAATCTGTTTTTGTAAGGTACTTTTAACCTTCGGTTTCTGATACCAGTATTCAAGTCTGAGGTTAGCAAACTTACGTCAATGGGTGACGTAACGCGCTAAGTTTAGGACCCTCAACAACTCTGAAAAAAAACTTCTATAATTACGACCTTACATATACTGTTTGCATGTTTAGTAAATACTGCCCTTACAAGACAGTTTCAGTTGTTCTTAGTAAAAGAGAGCGACTTACCTAACACCTAAATAAGTTAAGAAAAAAAATAACTGGCTCCCAGATTTTCCGGTTCGATTCCTTGACAGAATACCAAATAGAACAAAAGAAGCCACAAACTCTCTACTTTTGTGAACCCGACCTTCAAAACATTCTACCGAGTACGAGACTTGTCTTTTTAAAATTAGTTTTTATCTATAATCAAAAGCTGTAGTTGGTATTTTCTAACAACATCTGCGTGTATCTTAGTCAGGGGCAGCCCAAAATTCAATTTACTATACTAACACATGATTTTAAAAACCAGCACATCCTTAGTTTGTTGGACTTTTCTTTTCTTGCTCTCAAAGGAGAAGCGAACGTTCTGAGAAAATTTCCAGCTCCAAGCTAAGTAGGGCGAGAAATTTCCAGACAAGGCGTTTGTCATTATTCTCAATAATACTGAACGATAACTTTACAAGGACCAAATCCTGGTGCAACGCAGTTGTTCTTAGTAAAAGAGGGCGGCTTACCTAACGACTAGATAAGTTTGGAAAAAAAAAACACCCACTCACACACACTTCCAGATATCATGTATAATATAAAGACCCTGTCTCCATGCAGATATTCAGGCTCGATCCCTTAAAGAACAAAAGAAGCCACAACACTCTCTAATTTTATGAACCCGACCTTCAAAACAACATTGTACCGAGCACGGAACTTGTTTTTTTTAAAAAGTAATTTTAATCGATAACCATTTGATTTAGTTTACTTTCTAACAATATCTGCGTGTGTCTTAGTCAGGGGCAGACCAAAATTCAATATACTAGAGTAACACATAATTTTAAAAACGAGAACACCCTTTGTCGGTACGTATTTTCTTTTCTTGCTCTCAAAGGAGGAGCGAACGTCATTATTCTCAACAATACTGAACAAAAACTTAACAAGTACCAAATCCTCGTGCGACGCTTGAAGAACTCAAAACCGCTCTTGACCGGTTTTTTTCCGCTACTGGTTCAATTCAGGTTAGATAGCTCAGCCAGTGAACATCGCTTACGGGCAAACAAAGTTGACTCGAAAAGAAATTCTTGTATGGGGTTTATGGTCTCGGCAAAAGGATAGAGAAAAGAATTTGATCACAGGGGTAAGTTTGGGAAAAATTCTTAGCGGAACCAAACACTTCTCTCTCCCCCACAGAGGCTCCGACTGTGTATTCAAAAAACAAAATACTTAGGGAGTGTGCGCGTGGAGGACGATGGGAAGAGCGAAAAAGCGGGAGCATCTCTCCTTTCCATCATTTCCCGCGAGCTTTCTTTTGCCTCTTCTCAGCCCGTGACACGAACAGTCTTCCGGGGATGTGAAACAAGTACTTCAGTTTCTGGTTTATGTCTCAGTCAATCAGTGTCCCAATCTGTGTCCCAATATTATAATCTGCCCCACTGAAGAACTGCTGACGCAAATTTTGCTCCAAATAATTATAAGGTCGTGAAAATTTCAACCGCAAGATTTCCTCTAGTTATTGAGCCTTTTCCGATATTAGCCCGTAATAGTACCTAATTTTGGAATTTTACAATTTAGCTAAATAAATATCACAACGTGCTAAGTGATCATAACGAATAATAGAAGGATGTACGAGAGACGCGGTCGAAAATTGTCTCATCAGTTATTTCAGTACAACTCGTCGAGAAAACCTTTTGATTTCTAAATATGGGGAAGTCATGTTCGCGGTGTGATAAAAAAGAAGAAGATTATTGTCTTGAAATCCTTATGCTGGGGTTAAATGGATCAGGAAAAACCACGATTTTAAACTACCTGGATGGAAATTCTGATCAAATCCCTGAGCCAACTATTACTCCATCATTTTCAGCTGGTACTAATTTGAGCAAAGGACTGGATGGACTCAGCATTTCGATTTGGGATTTTTCAGGCGACGAAAGATACAGACAGGAATGGATGCGCTTTGTTCGGGAGCCTCAGGTGCTGCTTTTCGTTGTGGATAGTGCAGACACGTCAAGGATCAAGGAAGTAAGTCAGTATCTTATAAGCATTCTTGAACATCCCAAAATAGAGGGGATTCCTGTGCTGATTCTTGCCAACAAACAAGACCTTCCTGAAGCCCTCAGTATAAAGCAGCTTGCCGAGAAGTTGTCGCTAGCACATTACACAGCAAACCCTTGCGCTTTCCAAAGAGCGTGCTCTTTGACCGGCAAGGGCCTTTACGAAGCAATTTACAAGCTGGCCGACATGGATATGAAAACTTTGCGGTTGAAGCGCAGTTTAGAAGAATTAGGACCTACGCTGGACCTGGGAGGATTTTCGCCGGCGGTAATTAAAAGACTTGGTGCTAAGTCCATCACTGTGCGTTATGAGCAAATAGAACCTCTGTTTTTTGATTGAACTCAGTTTTAAGGGACGTCCGTCATGCATGAAGAGTCATCAGTGTTGTGCTCTTAGGGACGGACAATTAGAAAAGTTATAGGGGGACGGGGAGGGGAATTTTCGAGCCGCAGGAATTTTTTTTCGTTATCAAATTCCTTGTATGAATTTTTTTTAGGCCATGGTATGAATATCTTTTAGGATTAATTGGCGTGCATGAATTTTTTTAAATTTAATTTTCCCTTGCGTGAATATATTTTTTTCCCCTTCGCCAACCCCCCCCCCCCCCGGTACGTTTTCTAATGGTCCGTCCCTTAGTCGGCAACATTGCCGTTATCTCAGTGATTTTTGACAATGAAACGAAATTAAACGAATCTTGAAACAAAAGCGCTTTGTACTAACGACGTCACAAATTTCTGGTCCCTGCTGTGCCTCAGACATGAACCTGACCATGCAGTAGAAGAGTTTTGTATGGGAAAGTCACGTTCGCCAACAAATTTCCGTCATCTTTGAAGATTTTTATCGTTGAAAGAAACAAAATCCAGCTTGGTTTCGATAATATATATTCTGAAAATAATCAAGTCAACGTTTAAATCATGTTAGTATGTATGGAGAGCAGGGCTTCAAATCTGTTCATGAAACGGTGCATTAGGTTAAATTTATAGGGAAAGGTTGCTCAATTTTTTTCTCGAGGTTATGTTGCGCTACTTGGTACTACAGGATATAAATTACTGTGTTCGTCCCGGATTCGTATGTTCTACCTAGCCACACAACAACAGAACAAAGTTATAAATTTTCGGTTTGTACTAACGTTGGCGTGCTTTTCAGCTTTATATTTTTAGATATTCTGTCACTGACTTGCGAGAAGCGCATAGAAACTCGATTTCCTCTTTAGCAATTCCGGTTTGGAGTATTACACAGCCATGTCATGTTTCAGTGCATAGAGTGCTATGGGGACTAAGACAGAGCCAGGGATCCGATTTCAGTAGCCTTGTTTGATCAAGTCTCAAGTCCCTTTATTTTGTGATCCCCCCCCCCCACGAGCTTCGCGAGTTTCTGCGATACACGTATTTCTAGTATATTGGATTAAAGGTGAAAAAACACTTTAAAAACGGTCACTGCGAATTTTATGAATAATTTTCACATCAGAAACGCATGTTGCCCATACAAAGCCTTTGAGAAGTTGAGAGGCTTTCCCCCCTTTGTAATAGATCCGAAATTGGTGATGAATTCCACTATTTGTTGAAATGTACTCACTCACCACTTTCTCATATAAGGGGTATCTTTGGAGAGTCTATACTCGATAAACAGTAATTTTACAAATATGTCTTGAAAGGCACTATTTTTACATATCATGTCTATGTGCGATGAAAACATCATAAATCTTAGTGAAAATATTTTAAATTGTTGTAAATCCGAACTCTAATTAAACTTTCTTACCATGCGAGTAGTGTTGAAGCCGTACATAGCCAAGTAATTTTCCTTTTATGATAATCTTCAATTGATCCTTTCCTTCTTACTACACGTTTATTTTACTTTTTTCTTTTGTTATTGTTTTGGTACTGCAATCTTCATCTCGAAGATAAAGTCAATAGTTGTTGTTGTCGTTTGAGACTAAAGAAGAATGCAAAGTTTGTCTGAGTCACGCGGGGTATCTATGGTGACAAAACCTATTTTTAGTAATAGTGCGAAGCGCAATAGGTGCAATAGCAGGGTCTGAAAGATTAAGCTCGTAAAATCGACTATTATGGTTTTCATACTCACCCATGAAACCACGGTATTAAGGATTGGAGGAGGCACAATGATCCTGATTAGGCTAGACTAACATGACACTTGCTTATTTCTTGTCCGACTTCTTCTGCATATTAAACATTCCTGCACAGCTTTTGGCAATACTTAGTTTAAATTCAAGATTGGTCTTGTCGCTGCAAATTTTGATCGTTTTTGGGTACCTCCAATACCTTGATACACTAATCGAAAGTGATGACGCTTTTCCGTCTTCTTTACTTCTATAACCTGGATTGCCTTACTAAGTCGTACTTACCCAAGACTGTTAGGGCATCCAATAGTCTTACTCATTCTCAGATTAAGCATGCTACGAGTGTTCAGATCAACGGTTCAAAAGTTTATTCCACGCTCAGGCCAAGAAGAAATTCCTATTGGATATAGATCAGTTATCTTTTAGTTAACATCCTTAATATCTCGTCCGATCTTACGGGGTATTTTGTGTAATCATTTTTGACAGTTTTTACCTCTTTTTGTACTTTTTTTTCCTTGTATGTATATATTCTCGCCGGAACTCCCGATTTTCGTTATATCAACATACTAAACTACTTTTGAAAATAAAATGAAATAAAATAAATAACACGTAAATACCCATGAAACCGGGTATAATGAGGTAATTACGCCTTCAACTAGGCCAAAATGCACTAGGCGAGAGTCTTTTTTGGTCGCCTGAGGTATTCAATTCCTAAGATATCCACCCATTTATCAACTATGTATTTTCTAGCAGACGTTGGCTGGAAAAAAAAATAGGAATAGAGTTTTCGGCACTGCAATACCAACCTAAACATGCTTAAAATAACTTTAATACTGGCATTATGCCTTAATCTCAAGATATAGTGTTTCGCTTGAAATTACTTGATTATGTACGCGTGAAAATTTTCAACCTGCGGTCAGGCTGTTTTTTTTTCCGTCTCCCAAACAAAAGAGAATGAGGACCACCTGACCACGGGTCAGAAATTTTTAAAGTACGTTATCAGCTATTGACAAATTAGAAATTGCCATCAATTACAAACAGAGCTTAATGGGTTACGCTTACTAATATTTTATTGACATTTTTGTACAATTTGCTATATTCCTTATTCGATCATTGCTAAAAATATTTTACAATTAATTTATATTAAATCAGTAAACAATATTACAACTTAGAGTCATCGAAAAACGAGGTGTACTAAAAACATTTATGGGAAAGAGGATGGAATACTTTAATAAAGGCACACAAAATTCATTTTTTACAATTCTTTCCATTCTTAATTGAAATCTCAATAAATCTCCAGTTTCTTTTTCCTTCAGAATTAAATAAAGTGGAATTCTAAGAGGGCATTTTCGTTTGCAGAAAAATTACGAAAATTTGACCGCGATTTTGGGACATTCTTTTGGCTAGAAAAACCAAGCTGTTGACAGTGCTTTAGAGAAAAAAAGTCACTTAAATTCCAAAAGAGATATCAAGCTCGAGCATACAGTTTCTTACGTCTCGTCACGCAACGCTCCTCTCCTCTTTGGGAAGCAGCGTTGCGTGATAAGAAAGACCACTAAACAGTTGAGTAAGAGACCAGAGGAAAGCACGCACCAAATCAACGGTATAATCAAAGAAAAGGTTTCATGAGGGCAAACCGAGAAAGCAAGGTTACGCTATTCTGATTAGTTGAATATGTCAAGCTGATGAGTAAACAAACTTTCCTTTATTCGATTTGACTATAAATGAAATTCACTTTAAAATATATATGTAATTGAAGTCTTGAAGATTCTTGCCTGCCTCGACTACCATTCGCTAAATGTAGGCACGTGTGTATGTGGATGTACTGACTCTTGCGATAAATAAAGATGTTGTTGTTGAATTGTACCGTACATTTCTTCAATGCCCTTCAAAAGGGAACTAAATTATCAACACTAGTTATTTACTCGAGCTAGACTTGAATTCTGAGAGTTTCAATGGAGTCCTTAACAGTATTGAGATCACCTTAGCTTATTCAAAGTTGAAGGTAATCACAGTTATTGTCACTCCAGACAGCATCTCAATACAGCAATCACTCAGTCTGTTAGAAAGAGTGGTTCTACAAGAGTCAACCAAGTGACTATAGTATACAAGGCCTAAAAAAATTCAAAAACTTTTTGCATGCCAACAGCCTATAAAGTATTCTCTTGTTTGCAAAGGCCTGCAAGCAAGCTCGCTTGAGGTTGAACGAGAAAGTACTTAGGGGGGTAGGAACGGGACGCATCGCCTACACCTACTCCTCACCTCTTACCCCTTCCTCGCCAGTTTGCCTGTAAGGTAATCGCGATCAGGCGCCTCGTTCGGGGGATTTCGTTTACAGGGAAGAGAAAACATGAACAAGAAAATACAAAATATTTGGTAAAAGTCAAGGTATTTTCACTATCTCAATTAAACGAATATAGTCACGTATATTAATGCTCCGCACATAAGGAAATTTAATTTGACGCATGAACATGAAGTACATTCAAGTACATGAAGGGTCCTATTCAAAAAGAGGGAAGGTTGAAAGATGTTATTCACCAGGGAAAACACTTTTCTGTAAAACTGCCTGTCCTGAATGTGACTCATGTCACGTTCTCAAACAAAATCCAGAAAACTTAAGTAAATCAACAGGATACTAGCCTGATCCAGGCGTTTAGATAGTAGAGTGTGATGCGAAGTCAGAGAGCGGGAAAAAACAAGGAGGAAGAGAGGTAGATGGGGAGAGCAGGGGGAGGGGAGGGAGAGAACTCGCTCTCACCACCTATCCCACCCCCTCGCTGTTTTTCCTGTTCACATCTCTTTCACCGTCCCCACAAACTGAACGCCCAGAACAGGCTAGCGGGGAACTGGCCAAGCATCAAATTTTGAACTGGACCAGCAATGAAATAATTGGCCTTAACTTTACAAACGTTTCTTGATTTCTGCGAATTTTTCTCGTTTGATTGAGGTCAAGCTTACAGGATGTTTTCGCAACGATTATTTCTTAATTTACAAAGGTTTTAAAAAGTTCTGAAATACTCTTTCACTTTACTTGACAGAATGGATCACGTGACTCATGCATGTAAAATATGACGTGCTAGCTTTCTTGTTTGCTAAAAATCTGATTGGATCCTTTCTTCATCCATGATAATCCTGATTTATGTGCATTAGCAGTTGGAAGACTCTCTGGTTTACTCTGTGAAATAATAATAAAACATCATACATTGTACTCTCTATCAGTCTTCTTAATGGCTACGAGCCTATAGTTAATTTGGGGAATCACCGCAATCTACAGATTAGGTAGCTATCTGCTGGCAGACAAATGACTAATCTGTAGGATGCGAGCGTAATGCAGGATTAACAAGAGCGATGTCAAACCGTGTTCCGTGCGACGGTGCGTTTGCCGTTATTTTCGTCATGTTTAATTATTCGGCTTTTGTGATATCATGTAATTTTTGTAAATTAGAATTGACATAAATTACTATTTGGCTTGCACGGAACGGAGAAATGGGTTCGAGTGTAGCGCGCGAGGGATCGCGGTTAGGGGGTTTGATTTAGCGACCGTTTAGTTATGCGTGTCATTCTACGGTCGGCCTCGCCGCATCAACTTGCTTTGTTTAGTTCAGTTTTCGCTTATTCTGTTAGCCTTAATTTCGTTCCCATCTGTACTGGTCCCTATGTTCCTTAGCTATTTTATGTAGCATCTCGTTTTCTGCTCGTATTCATGTTATTAGGCTTTATTTTATTAGTTTTGCCTTTTAACCCCAAAGGCGACGCCGTAGCATAGGTTGGGGTTACACGGTCCCTATTTTTCCAATAGTTGGTTTTTTCGGTTTTACGAGTCCGGCTGTGGCGTGTTCTTAGAATTACTGTAACAGTGGAGTTTTTCACGTGAGTTAATAAAGTGTTTCATGGGCCTGGCTGACCAACGCGACCATGCCTTCAAGTGTTGTTTTGTGTGTTCGGTTGTGCAGTGGAGGCAAAATCGGAATAATCAAGGTCTTAGTATCGGCTTTGGCTGATGACACTTACCTTGACCCAGATTATTCCGAATATCACAAAAGCCGAATCTCATATATTTTTAATATAATTGATTCTGAATTGAAATATATGAAATGGATCAATTTTTGAGCTGCGGATAAAGAAATCAAAGTGAACATGATCCTTGCGGTAGAATGAACAACCTAAGGGGTTGAAAGAGAACCTGAAAAAATTCAGGCTTGATTGGGAATCGAACCATGACTTTTGGGATGGCCGGACGTAATGCTCTATCCATTGAGCTAATCAAGCCAACTGGAGAGCAGGTCATTGTAAGTTCGTTACCATCAGGTATATTACGAACGTACAATGACTCGCTCTACAGTTGGCTTGATTCCCGGTCAAGCCTGAATTTTTTCAGGTTCTTTTTCAACCGCTTAGGTTGTTCATTCGACTGCGAAGATCACGTTTACTTTCATATAATTCATTCTGTAATTCATTCATTCTATAAAATAAACTAAAGGCACCGAGATGGAGAAAATTAACGTGCCTGACTGAACCGTAAATGGTTTGAACCAGGGCGGATAAAGGTCGGGCGATGAAACGAGCCTCCGCTGTTCAAGTGATGGGTGATGCGGAATAAGACTGGAACGAGCATCTCTTTCGACCCTGGTTTGAACCCCGGGGTAATGTCATAAGAAGGCGTGGACAAAACCTGGATCAGACCGGATTGGATCAAGTGTTGGAAATCACCATTAAAATGACAAAAGGTTTAAAGGGAGAGGATTATAGGAGTTGATCCGATCGGATCCTATCCAGGTTTTGTCAACGGCCGTCATAAGAACACTTTGACTCTGAATATGTCATGAATACCGCACTATTCCAGACATTATGATAACTGACTGAAGCAAAAAATTCCAAAATATAACTCAAACGCAACTTACATGATGTATCTACAATTCAAACAGTATCGTCCTCTCCGACGCTTCTCATTTTAATCTCGCCATACTTGTTTTGAGTAATTCTCGATGCAAACAATCAGTTCAAAATCACGAAGGATTTTGGCCGAGCAATCCGAAAACTATTTTCCGGGCAAAATAAAGGTTAACTTTGAGCGCTCATAAAATCGTCAATTTAATTCCACTCAACACATCACAAAATAATTTTCGCTTCAAATAGACACTAAGTGATGTGTATGCTCGATACTGGGCTCAAATCTGGATTCAGCTTTCTGCCAAAACTGATGCCATATTTAATGAAGTCCAAGTTTTATAGAGAATAGAGAAGTCACGTCGCTAAATTCAAATTTGTGAAATTATGGGATTGGTTAGCATATTCAGAAAGAACAAAAATCAGCCTGTTAGTGCAAATTGGCGGCTGATGACTCCACACAAATCCTTCTAATATTGGTTTGGATCGTAATGTTAACGATCGATACCAATTTTAGAAGGATTTATAATAATTATGGAGTTATCTAAGCATACCAGTTCTTATATGAATAATATCTCCCCACCAATTTGCTCTAACAGGCTCATTTTTGGCAAGTGACCATTTTTCATCTTGTTCTTTCTGGATATGCCAACCAATCCAATCATTTCACAAATTGAGTTTCGGTGATGTCATCACTTGTCTTCTCTATAAAGCAAGCTGCAACTTTGCTTTCCTGTCATGTTTAGTACTCCCTGGAGCAAATTAAGTCATCCACTTTACCTGATTATTGATCATTTGGGTTTTATATTCATCATGTTGATCTGGGCTAAGTTCAACAAATCTGAAAAAAAAGAAAAAAAACCATGGTAAAAGAGACAGTTATGACAAGTAAAAAAATGATAACAACAACAACTAAGCAAGTCAGGGCTGGGTCTAAAGTACAGGTCACATTCTACAGGTCAAGAGTACAGATCACTGCTCCATCGATAAATTACCAAACCACACAGTCTCCCCTCGATCTAATAGCAGGGTGCAAAGAAAGTCAGTTTTACAGCCTGCCATTTGGGCAAGCTGTAGCTAGTATGTACTAGCCTAAAAGTAATTTCAACTAGTCCCCAAACCCTTTTTGATTAGCACGATTGATTACAATCCTTCTGTAATTTGAATTTCCCCTCAAAACAGCACTTACCTGTCGAGCAAGTTAAGAACAAAAATAACTAGCCCAATAGCAAAATCCACTAGCCGCGGGCTATTGGACACGACTTTGTTTACACGCTGAACACAGCATTTTGTTAAGAGATTAGGGCTAGGAGACACTTTGAATGCTGTTCATTTATCTGTATCATGGTGACCTGTACTCTGACCTGTGGAAGAGTGACCTGTATCAGATAATTTAAGTACAAATTGGAATAAGCAACTAAGCACGAGCAAAGTTTTTCAAAGAATAGGAGGGTAGCGAAAGTGAAATTTATGCTTTACAAGTGCTTTTTCCACTTTGTAGGCTAATATTGTATGCTGAGAAAAGTCATATGGTTAGTTGTAAATAAGATTTTTGGAAAAAATCAAAAACACATTCCACTTGACAATTTCAATTTCCAGAAAATGCACTGTGTAAACAAAGGACATCCAGAGCAGAAATAAGGAAATTCAGTGCTACAAAAGTTTTGTGGTAATGTAATGTAATGTAATGTAACGTAACGTAATGTAATGTAATGTCGTGGATTTGAGGACAACAAGATGGGCACTCTACATATTAGCATGTTAACAGTAAGCTTGGGCGTCAGCATACAAGGGCGCAACTGGCAGCCACTACCAGTTCATTATGAGCTTACTGTAACCCACCCATAGAACACATGATATGAAAGATGTTTGATGCGTGAAAGGTAGACCAAACCACCAGTATCTCTTACTTTACGAAACTTAAAAGAAAAACAAACACACACACACACACACACACACAAACTGCCAGCTATGCAAGCTAGCATAGTTCGTACACATTAAGGATTTTTAAAAAGCATCTTGACCTCACCTAATAGCATGAGGATCATCTGCTAGTGGTAAATGAAGCTCATTCAGACATGTCCTTAATGAAATGTTTACTTTCTGTTTAAAGGCATCCCTATCATTTTCATATCTGTGGATTGAACAGAGAAAAAACACAGTTTTACAGTAGCAGTACAATGCTATGCAAAGCAATGAAGCCTGACCCAATCTAATACATTAACCCAATGTGCTGCCATGCAATCAAACATAATAAGCACAGTGCAATCTGACCCAGTTAAAAGCAATCTACATGTAGTTCAGTGTATTGTCATGCAATTCAACAAGATTCAATAAAGTTCAGTATGTACTGCAATGTAATGCAATGCTGACCCAATCTAAAGCCATCTAGCTCACTGTAGTGTTATGTGCATGCGATCCCACAATTTAGTACAGTACAGTACAGTATGCAGTGCAATGCAATTTGGTGCTACGGTAAACCCCTCTTAAGCAATCCAGTTCAATGTAATAGAGCGGTTTTCACTTGACTGTCGTAAAACCAAAACCAAAGTAAATACACTAGCCAACCAAAGGGCGTAGTAAAACCAAAACCAAAACCAAAACCAATCCCTTTCGACAGTCAAGTGAAAACCGCTCTATCACGCAATCCAACACAAAATCAATAACAGTGTACCCTGTGAGCAGAGGCTAAATCCGCTGTGTGAGCTGGTGTGTGCAAAGTAGCCTCTGCTGACAACCGTTCAATTTTCTATCATGCATGTGCGAAATACGTCACGCGAATCCTAAGCAAAATTAATCGTCAGGTCTGTCGTCAAATGGCGCGAGTTTTGCGGGAGTAAAAAAATTGCAACAACTCTGATCTGTTACGCAAGACTCAGGCAATGTTCTAAACCAATCACGAACAGGACAAAACCCGTTTTTTTAATTTATTCGTCCAGATTTCTGGACAGATTTGAACAGTTGTTGGCAGAGGCTACTTTTCGAATGCCAGCTCACACAGCGAAAATGTAGCCTCTGCTCGCAGGGTATATGCCGTGCAATGCAGTGCTGAACCAGTCTAAAGTAATCCAATTTAATGTATTGCCATGAAATTCAACACAATTCAATACAGTGCAGTACCCTGTGCAATGCAATGCAATGTGATCCTGACCTACTCTTGAACAATCCAGTTCAATGTACTATCATGTAGTCCAACACGATTTAAAACTGTGTAGTGTAATGTAACTTGAGGAAAGTTGAATTCCACATGGAAATATGTTTGTAGTTAGAAGAAGCATGTAGGTTATAACATGTCCAAGACATGAATTTCAGATTTACTGTGAAACTCAGAGTACCATCAACACCACAACTACTTCTGTGTTTGTGATAAAACAGTTCATCAGGCATAGAAAAACAAAACTACAAACAGCAATAATAAAGCCAGGTCTGAACACACTAGGAGACAATTTGCAGCAACACGTTGCGGTGACATGTCACAGTGACAAAGTGCTTTGTGTGTACTGGCAAAATGTTTGTGAAAATCTTTGTCTATGCAATGGAAATTTGTGGAAAAACAAGTTGCAAAAATCAAGCGATTTGTTGCTGCAAATTGTTGCACATTTTCTCACCTCACCCGCACACAAGGAGTGACTTGTGGCGGCAATGCGTTTGCACTGACATGTGGCCTAGTGTGTTCCAGCCTTAATTAATTCAAAATTTTGTTGTTTGCTCATGTGTCATGACTGATCTTTCTTGTGATTGGTCACCACACTATCACCATTCCTACATAGGGTATTTCTGGTGTTTTAGATTTACTCAGTGAGTTTGCAAGTAACAAGTAAATGAATTTCATTTTAGTTTTAATAGTAGTTAAAAATACATGTATTATAGAAACTTACAAGTGAGCAGCTTCAGGATTTAAGGGATTTTTCATGTCAATTTTATAAAATATTCTCCTAGCATAGAGTAGCACTTGACACAAGTGATTTATATTTCTCCTGAAAAAAAAAAAAATGAATAAAAAAAAGGAATAATTTGTTCATTTAAGGACTAACAGGCTTTCTGACTCTGAAGTTGACATTTTGTGAGAAGTTTTCATTTTCCAGTGTTGTCATCTGATTGTTGGTGATAAAATTGGATTGCCTGAATTTCGAAATAATCAAATAAAACAAAAATTTTCTTGACACACAATGCCTGCAAGGTTAACGTGGGCCTTAATTGAGACTAGAGACGTTACTTTCTATCTCACATGAACACAGCTTATAGATCGTTTTCACTGTCACGCAACAGATCAGGTCTTCGTGGCCCACAGTTTCTGAGTTCTTTTCCAAAACATGTAGAGCTTTGTATCGAGATGCCATATCATTTGGTGTACCATTTTGGTGCACCAATATGGGCACCAGAAATCAATAAAAACATCTGGAGTTCACTTTTTCTATATTTTTTTTATTAAGCTCTTTCTTTTCACTCGAAAACTAGCATACATACGTATAAAAATATTATCTAATACTTGAAATGGTTATACTGCTGAAAATCAAGAGGAGAGACTTTTTTCAGAGAGCATTCTTATTTTGGTGTCACGCACTGTGAAAACTCAGAAGTTCAAATTGCTGTATTTTTTAAATGAAATGTGCTACGGGAATGGAAACTTGTAAAAAGATTCACTTTTTGTTTATCTTTAACCTAGTGTAAAATTAATAAGAATTCGTAAAGCCCCGCTATTTTGACTTTACAATTTGACAACGTCTCTGTGAAAACCATCTATGCACTTTTTGGGGCGAATTTGTTTCCAACATTGAAATGAGTTTGATTGTTATATTCTCTTGTCTCATGGTGAGGTTCATAACTGTAACAAAGCATTCTTTGCATGAGCCAAACTGTACAATATTACATCATGCTTGTGCACAATAAGGACCTTGGTGACACCCGATTTAATAACAAATTCTCCTTATGGTTCAGAAGCACACAGAAGGCTATTTGTAGGAAGAATCAAGCATTTCACCAGAAGACACAAATACATTCAAATAGTGTTCTCAAAGATGGGAAGATGAACAGAAACATAACATTAATCTTCGTTTTGAGTTTGGTGACAAACTCAGTGAATATATGAAAGCTTGTTAATAGTGCTTTTGCATGGATTTTTTAATTATAGGTACTCTTGGGATTAAATTCAAGGGAAATGTCCAAGATAAAATGAAGAATAAAAAGCATAATCTGATTAGATGGTGCTGTTTTTTAAGTCATAATTCTTACCTCCATTTTGGAAAATTTCTTTTGACATCCAACTCTCCTGTCTCCATATTAATCACAGGATGAAACACAGGGGGTTTAAATATAACACTCTGGAATGAAAAATATCAAAATAAGATGTTATTGAAGGTAAACCAGGCTAGATTTAAATCAAGGCAAAGCTGTATAACAATAAATTATTAAAATAACATTGGCAAAGGCCAAGAGTAACATGGTACCATTGAATAACCAAATCTGTGTAGTACAGTCAAGCCAGGTCAAGTGAACCGCCCAGGATTTCATTATTGAATCTATTATTTGAAATTTCAGATTCATCCCTGCATTCTTGAGCGGTGAATTCACATGCAAAGAGGTTCTTAAATTTCTGCCTGCTTGGTTTCCTTAAGCTTTGACAAAAATTTCTTCATAATATTTTATCCATCTGCAAGGATTTTTCAATGTGAATGAATACTGAGAGGATGTAGTAAAAAATGTACTGATCATTCTGCATGTAGGAAATGCAGATTTGAATTTGATACGGGTTGCGGCAACTACTCGTGGATTCATTTTCCAAACAATCAATACATAAAAGGAACCTATTGGAGCACACTTGACCTGTAATATTATTGTTTAAATACATAACTTACAGGGCAGTCACCATCTGGGAAATTTTCTGGAATCTTCATAACAAACTTAAAAATACCATCCTGATAGGAACCCATCCTGATAAAAATTACACCATACCAGACTGAAAACAGAAGAAACATTTGCTATTAAATCCTGAATAAGGTCAGCGGTTGTCATGCGCTTATGGCGACCCCTTGGCGGCTCTGCCAGTTTTGTAGTTTTTGCTAAAATATTGTCATTTGTCCCCCCTGGCTGAGGTGCGAATTACTTGCAGAGCTGCCGCTCGTGCTCATTTTCTGGTCATAAACAAAGGTGCTTGACAGTTCTGTCTGAGCTTCGATACAAGGTAGCTTACAATCCCAAAACCTTTTTCCTGAATTGGAAACAACGTACGGCAGGAAAAGCCATTGAGGACGCATTGCAATACATCAAAATGTCTGTAGCACGAGTTTGAACCAAAACTGCCAAGGGATATTTTACAAATGTCGAGGAACAAGTCATTCGACATCAGAGCAAGGTTTGGAGCAATTCATAGTGCTTCTAAAACTGAAAAATATCTTCTAAAGAATAGCACAATAGGCAATCGGCTTCTGTTTTCTGAATTAGTAAACACTGAATTTACTTGTCCCGAAAATTGAAACTGGTGTCGCCTTCTTCCTGATAGTACCGGTAATTTATTTTTGAAATTCCAAAACAATTTCACAGCTGAATTTTGAGCGACTTTGAGTTCGGGAGTCCTGCTCCAACGATTTTTCTGAAATTCCTCTGGCATATTTATTACATCAATTGAAGCCGATACCAGAAATTTCAGTAAAAAATATCAGCAAAATTTTTTACTAGACGCGATTTTCGAAGTTTATTTATGACAAACAAATTTTGAACAGTAGGGTCCTTTTAAGGAAACAGGTCAAACTTTTAGCGGTTCCATTTAAGCCATTCTGTTGTTTGCGAAAGAAATATTTACCATCAATGAAATCTGGAATATTTTTAAACTTACTGGCGTGATTTTCTGTCAATCAAATGATATCTGTTGTTCTCGGTGAATTGGCAAAATTTCGCAGCCATCGAATGATATCTGTTGTTCTTTCAAATCGAAAAAGTTATGACGGTAAATTTGTCACAGCCAAATGCTCTTGTATTAATTACGGAGCCACCTTAAGCAAATAAAGTTTGAGACAACTTTGAAATAGCATGAGTGGTATTTATGCCAAATTTCACATACAAATCATGCTATTACTACCCCCAAGAGGTTTGTAATTTTCACGTGTACGTATTTCAAATTAAGATCAAATACCACTGCTCTAAGCCAATCAAATTGCAGAAATTTCTCACGTAGTAGTATGAATTTATTTATTATTTAGTACTGTTATTAAATTATTCTAAATTTAAGTTATTTTCCTGTTTATCTTTCATGTGTCACAAACCTATAGGATGTAATTAATTATTGTACCTACTCAGCTCGTTTAGTTTTTTTGCTATTCTGAGTACTTTTTACCTGATCTGTTTTAATTTATTCTGTTTTTTTGTAAACGTTTGGCAAATAAAATGGTTACATGTAGTTGGTTGTTGCTGTTGTTGTTGAATACATGTAGCAACAACAGAAAGCATCACCTGAATCTTTAAATAAAGGATCACATGTTTACATTTTGTACCAGTCTCCCACCCCCAGGTAGCCCTAGTTGCTGCTCAACCTATTGTTGAGGACTCAGTGCCAAATAAGCATTCTCACATTTTGCTAAATGCTAGAAAAAAATGAGCAAAAAAAAGCTATGACAATTTCTTTTTTTCACCTTAGTTTGAAACTAAAACAAAAGAAATCATTAGAACACAATCAAAAAAGTGATAAAACCAGAGTCAGTATGAATAACAAAGACTCTAAAACATTAATTTCACACTATTTGCCAGTGAACTTGAACTCTGGAGCATAGATGATTAAGCAAAATCCTGCACATAAGATTGTAAAAGATGCATGTTTAACTATTCAACTTTTTCCTTTTTTGTTTTAACTTTGCCCTTTTACCTTGGATTAAAATGATTTGAAATAGCTGTAAAACTGCACTTTGGAATTTCATATTGCTTAGAGAATTTCTTAATGTTAGCCTTGAATGAAGAGTAAAGTCCAAGCCTAGTTACTCTTCATTCAAGGCTAACATTAAGAAATTCTCTAAATGCATTGACCAAAGCACTTTCGGCAGGAACCCTACTGCAACCAATAATAATAGTAATGAATTAAATTTATATAATATTGACATCTAGTTTATTACTAGTCATTTTGACTAGTCATCCTTTTATTGTTCATTTGCATTGTCTAATTTAACTTAATTGATACTTATGTATTTATTTTTACATAGTCATCTTAAGCTTATCTATTTATTTATTTATTATTTGTATTTATAATTGTTTATATTAGGATATATTTTTAGTTCATTACATATAGTGTAAAGTAGATAGCAGGTCCACATCAGCAATAGCTGCCATTTATTCAAACTGCTTTATCAAATAAAGTATGTATGTAACTATGTATGTATGTGCTGTATTGCTCTGTCTGAGTTATATTAAGTGCTGTATTTATGAGTGTTTTATGTACAGGAAGCCTATTATGGCCATTCACCATCAGCTCTCTCTTAAAACAGACACCTAGAGTTGGACCCCACCATTCTTCTTCACTCATAATCTTCACACCAAGATTTCTTATTAATGCTAGAATCGGGGTTGTCAAAAAGCTTTGAAGTAGATGGCCGAGTTGTCAAAGTAAGTGGCCAGTCCAGGGATATTTTATTTAAAAAATGCCATCCATAAAGAAATGCTCAGCAGAGTAGCCAGCCGATACTAGCCAAGTGGGTGGCGATTTTTGCTGGCAGCTGGCTACTTTTGACAACCCTATTCGAAACATACTAAACCTTTGATATCTTTGCTAACTTGACTTAAAATTTTCAGCACAATTTCTTAAAAACATAATACTCACTTAGAGGGGACTTGGCCGCTGGAAGAACATAAACTCCTGGTAGCCTTTGACTTCTAAGCTGATTACTGCAAAGATCAAGTTGTCAAAGATGATATATTACAATTGTATGTCAAAAAAACTCATGATATTCATAAACATAACTAGTATATAAAAAAATTATGCTCCATGAGTGTCCTTAATCGGACAAAACTCATCTTGATTGTGTTGCTCTGATTTAATTTGTGGAAATACAAAAGTAATAATAATAATTATAATAAAACAGAAAAAGGATTGGTTGGAAAATGAATAGATCTATAAGAGAAGTCTTGTATATTAAAGCAGGATTGTCAAAAGTAGCCGGCTGCCAGTGAAAATCGCTGCCTACTTGGTTAGTATCAGCCGGCTACTCTGCTCAGCATTTCTTTACGGATGGGATTTTTGAAATAAAATATCCCTGGACTGGCTGCTTACTTTGACAACTCAGCCATCTACTTCAAAACTTTCTGACAACCCTGTGTAAGCGGGGTGCAAAGAAAGTCATTTTTATGGTTTGCCATTTGGACAAGCTGAGGCTAGCATAATATACTAGCCCAAACGTCATTTCGACTAGCCCCAAAAACTTTTTGATGAGCAGAATTGATTTCACAGTTCTTCTGTAATTTTAATATTTCCTCAAAAAACTTCATTTGCCCATTGGGCAAGTTAAGAACAGAATTCACTGGCCCACTAGTAAAATCCACTAGCCACTACTTTCTTTGCACGCTAGTAAGCATTCAATAAAATCAAAATCTCAGCTGTACCTCAGGTTTTCACTATGGTAAAACAAAAATGGGTAAAATGTCAAAAACAAATTCAGGGCTGTGCACTAGCAGAGCCCTGTAGCCCATGGTGCCCAACTTTTGCTCTTGGGTGACTAGAAAATCAAAGATCTTTCATACAAATCATATGCTGGGCACCCTGGATTTTACAGGTTCAGAGCACTGGGCTCCCTTCAATTTTCCTTAGAGCACAGCCTTGAAATTGAGATGGAATAATAACAGGCTTTCCAGGTGGGGGTTAGCAAGAAACACAAGAATGCCTTTTCAGAAATTTAAACTAAACTCATTTCAAAATTTTTGACCTTCTTACACTTAATTATCTTTGATGATGTTTTTTAATACCAACATCGTTAAAATTTTCATCCATGCCATAGAAGGTTTATCAAGAAAAAGCACGAAAAACACTCACTATGTTGGACACCCAACAGGTTCTCATAAAAGCCTGACAGTCAGTTAAAGGCTTCTTTTACTTCAAAAACTTGACGGGCCAGTTGTTTAAACAAACCAAGACAGTGTTGTGTTCACATGGATCCACTCTGACCTCATAAAAATTAAGACAACGGACGATTGAAAATTTGAATGCCAAAATCGAGGTCAAATATCTAGCTGGTATAGTTAGAAATTTGAACGGCTTAAAGTAAACACATGACTGTTTTAATTTTTGTATGACAAAGCATGCAAAAGCCTGGATACACGTGTGGTGCCTGTCTACTAATGAACACGGTGCATCGATCATTTCAGTTATCACTGAAAATGAACCGCAAGCTCTTTACAAGACTCTTTCGCATACAACGAAAGTTTACAACACCCAACCAGTTAGCCTTACCATCGAAGTTTTACTTATAGAGATTATTCTTTTTTCGACCACTGAAGTATTCCCTTGTTCCAAAGTAATTAACGCTTTCAAGTGATATTATTCATTGACCAATCTGTTCTGAAAAAGCTTGACATCTTTCTCATTAATCTTTTCTAAGCTTTCTTCACAAAACATGCATTGCACTCTGAATATGTAGTCAGTCATGTCATGATTCTTATCCCCAGTTTCCATAGTATTTGCTAGGACTGCCTGGGACCATGACCCTACCTTTGGTGAGCTCACACATGCGAAAAAAGAAGTGCTTGCATTTTTAGAGTCTTGCTGCTAAGCAAGCTCGACTAATCATTATGTCTTGTAAAATACTTCAATAAACAGCAGATAGTTATTGTAAGTTGGACCTGATGGAAACCTCACGTGTCGGCTTTAAAGTTTTTGTTAATTCTTCTGAAAAATGAGGCTTTAATAATATATTTTATCTGCGTTTGTGTGAGATGTGAATCCTGAAGATAACTTTTTCTCTTCGCTTCTTTTGCCTTTTCTTTTCTATTTCTTTTTGTTTAGTTTTCCTAGTAAACAATAATTGTGGACATCTCTGTTTAAGACAGGCTTATTTTACAGAAATTTGGTGAAGGCATCAACAAAACCTGAATTGAACTGGATCTGATTAGCCCCCTGTTTTCCACTAAATGACAAAAGTGTAGGGATAATGTTTCAGTTGATCCAATCCAGTTTAATGAAGGCTTTGTCTCTGATGTGGGTATAAAAAAGTATTTTTTTTGGCACAGCCTGTTGATTCTATTAAAAGCTGAAGGATAATTTTTAAAACAAAGGAAACTTTATATGATAATTTCGCATTTCTTTTGCATCACTCATGCAACAAACATAATTTCTCATTTCTAAGATGTCAAGAGAGTGAGAGAGTCCAGGAGAAAAACAAAAGTGTAAAATTATGCAAAAATGAACATCTGCGCAAATTCAGTTCCGCAGGATACTTCCATGAAATTTATCAAAATAAGAGCGCGCAAAAACACAAATCGTCACGCGCTGTGCACATTTTCAAAGGATAAAATAAGATTAACGAAACAAAGAATTGTTACTTACTATTCCGCCATTAACGTGTATTCGAGAAAATATGGCCCATAGGCTTTGACCTGTGAAGAATTGGGTCCAGGTGATCTTTGCCTCGCCACTGACAAATTCATGGATTTTTCTTCTTCTGGTGATGGCACAGTCGGAAGAGATTTTCTTTTGTTTTTCGGCGAACTTTCATCGCTTAGCCTTTGTGTTTGCATTCCGTTAGTTTCCGAACGGGAATGACTTCTTGCTTGAAACTGATGACTCTCATCTAAATCTCCCAGAAAGAGCTGTGGGTTGAGTAAAGGTAACAACTATGTTACACTTACTGATCGCTAATCTTTTGTCATAAATGTGTTTATGGAGCAGTAGGAATTCGTTGCTCTGAGAAAAGAAAACTTCACCGGGAGAGTGAATGGCGATTAACAACCTTAAGAACGTATAAAACTCGAATAAAGCATAAAAACGCTGACAAGCACTGTGCCACCTGTGATCAATTCTGCCATGAATTTCCCTGACGCACTGGATTCTATAGGGTTTTACTATACCGCTTGTTAAAATAATCTCTACAAGAGTGACATCATATAGAAGGGTCACAGAGTAAACAAAACGCCTAGCGCTAGTTAACTCCAAAACTCTTACGGTTATATCTTCGATCGAGACGTTTTGAAACCTACCTTCTTTCTGAGTTGATGAGTAACGTTTAACATTGCTCATCGACAAAACCAGGAAACGCTCTGGAATACTGCCCATATGTTAGAATAATCAATTCAACACCCTTCTCCACATCTCACAGTCTAATAATGACTTATTATCAAGAGATGGTTCGATAATTTCTCAGACGCTCTTCAAAGTAAATCATAAATATTTATCACTACAACTGCGGCGGCCATTTTTGATTGCAAGGTCACGTGGCTATGTCGTTATTGGCTATTGTCGGAAATTTTCGTGACGCTCGAGGAAACGACGAAAGCTTGCAATATGGCGGGTGATGGAGCAGAAGAAGTTTTGCAATCATTGATAGATACTCTTGAACTATGTGTAGGAAAAATAAAAGGTAAGGTTGTATAAACAAAAATGCAAACTCTTTCAGCGTGTTTCAGTACAACAGATGACAGTGATTTACCGTATTTATTCGATTAACCGCCCTGGGCGCTTTAATATTAAATTTTTGGACCTTGAGAGTGCAGGGTGGGCGCTTATTCGAGGCTGGGCGCTTATTAAATTTTCACCATTTTCAGCAAGTGAAGTATGTTTATTTTGCAACAAAACAATAAATGCTAATAACAAAATGCGAAGAAGTAACAAAGCAAGGTTTCTGTAAATTGCTCTGAAGAAAACCCCGTTCTCGCAGGCCCTGCCAGGGTAAATTCCGACAAGCGACATGGCCCAAAAAGTAGCGACAGCACATAAAATGATATTGACACAAGAGACAACCTCCCTCGGCCAAATTGCGACAGTGACGGAAAAGCTGACAATAAGCGACAAGCATTTATAAACAACGAGACGAGACATTTTAAAATTCAGACGGGCGACATGGGACCCCCCCTGGCAGGGTCTTTTCTCGGGGAAGTCTCTAATTAGAATTTATTCATTCAAGTGGGTGGGATGGGGGTGAGCGCTAATTTGAGTTTGATTGGGGGGAGGAGGGGGTGGGCGCTTATTCGAGGCTGGGCGCTTATTAACCTTTTCTGCTTTTAGGATGGCGCTTATTCGAGGTGGGCGCTAATTCGAGGTTGGGCGCTTATTCGAATAAATACAGTATGTCATTTTATGGTATGCCATACACTTCAAAAGATCAACAGTAATGCAACTCATGTGGAAGAGGTTAATGTCACTTTTTAAAATTCTTTTGTTCCTTTTTTTTCACAGAGGGAAGTTTAGGTCAAGTGATGGAAGACTTGGAAATGAATTTCTCTTTGGAGGAGTTTTGGATGAAATTAGGTAGATTAAGGAAGGCTTAAATTTAAGACTTACTTCTTTCATTGTCATCATCATCATCATCATCATCATCATCAGCGGCAGCGGCAGCAGCAGCAGCAGCTTTTCAGTGTTTTACTTTGGAATTTAACCTTTGTTTTTTCAAAATTTCAAAATCTATTTATTCCAAAATTCATATTACGGTCCCTTGCGAGACCTTTCAATAGGCCACTTCCGAGTTCCAAAAACCCTCACTTTCAAAATAAGGCTAAGTGCACAACCTTTCTTGTGGAAATGAGTTTTATTTGCAGGAGAATGAAAAATCATTCCTTATCAAAGGTTGAGCACCTAACCTCGTTTTGATACAGAGGCCTGGGGGAACTCGGAAATGGTCTATTCAAGGGGTGGTATACTATAATAGAATTAGAATAAATATTATTATTATGGAATTCTGTAAGGCCGACAAGCCATCCCCCTTATATCAGCTGTGTTGCCTAATTTTAGGTTGGTTGTTCAGACGAAAGAAAAAAACCTAAAAAAAATCACAGGAAGTCTGAGAATAGGAGGCCTGAAACCCAGCATCTTTGCCATGGAGCCTGGAAACAACAAGACTTGCTCACTAAAGCAACACAAACTCAATATAGTGGAAAATATGATGGTTGATATCAGAGTACATCAATTTAAAGCAAAAAAGATACACCACTGAAATTTTTCTGCCTGGGAATGCTGTTACAATGCTCATTTTTCAGATTAAAAGGTTAAACTTCATTGTTCCTAAAAAAGCCAAAAATTTGGGTTGTCGAAAAAAAAAAAAAAGTGAAAAATAGGGGATAGTCATATACCACCAGGAAAAAAATAATTGTTGTTAACCTTTCTCTTTTGAGGGACTGATCATGATACTGTGATAATCGAAAACGCTCCAAAGAAAATGTTTGGAAATAGATAGATAGAAACCTTTATTTCTATAGGGTAACTCCTTCAGTTTTTGTACAAAATAAAAACTCCTATCCTTAGAGGTGATAATTAATTACAATAATTAAAAATAGCTATAAAATGTTATATCAAGGACTTAAAAATTAAATTACAAGTAAAATCATAAAAATCTTAAAACCTGAATCTGATTAAAAATTACACAACCATGATAAAAAAAGGCCTTTTTCGTACATTCTAACTTTATAGACGGGAATCTAAGTTTACCGCTGCTCCTTGTTGTTCTGGGCAATTTATCCTTGTTATAATTAAAATAGTGCATAAAAAAGAGATGGAAGAGAGTTTGTTATTTTTAAAAAAAAAGGACGAGTGGTGATAATTTAGTCTTCTTTTTTTTCTCAGGAATGACATTCAAAGCAGTTTCCAAAGAAGCCACAAAATTGACAGTGTCCTTTTCCAAACCTCCAGCACCATCTGTTGAAGTAAGGAATTTGACAAATCAGAACAAATCAGGTTTCATTCCATCACAGGATCTTTGTCACATGTTTTTCCATCATAAATCACCAAAGCCAAAATTTCCATCCATTGATAAAGGTTCTGTGACACTATTGAAAGCCTGTACTTACATAAAAATGTTTGATGCTTCAACAGTAACCTGATATATTCTGGTTTGAATTAACAGGATTTTTTCATTTGCCAGGATTTTTTAATCTACCAGTAACAATCAATTAGTAATAATTCAGTATTAAGGGCATTTTACTTGAGGTGACTACACATTATAAAATCCTTTTGTTTACTAAATCCTTTCGTTTACTTGTAGCTATTTGGCATTAGTTGATAGTATCTGTTTCACGGTTTTAGTAAAATCATTATATTATTGACTTAAAATATAAAAGAGAAGAAAGTAGTATTTAATATTTGGTTGTCATAAAACTGATGGTTTCCTAGTTTCTTAGTTTATCATCTGTAACCATGTCTTTTGACAGTGTATTGAGTTTAGTTACTGGGTAGATTGAAGATTTTCTGTTATCAAATTACTTTGCTAGGAGCTGCAGTGTCTTTTGACTGGTTTTGAAACAGCAGTCATTGCTATGCTAACGATATATCATTCCTTGCCGCTGTCTCAAGGTAGGTTTAGGATTGAAAGTACTTAGTACTGTTAGCAGTTGAGTTGGATACTAAACTGTCACAAATGTTTGCATACCCATCTGAGCATTGTTTTCAAAAAGAAAAAGTAGGGTTTTAAGAGGTATTCATCAGTTAGGCTTGAAACAATGTTGGGTTGAGGATTTGATACAATTTGCTGTGCATAAGTGTGAATAAATTACGCGGATGATAAAATTCCTCCTTCAGAGAAGAGAAAAGAGCCAACAACAAACTCATCCCCAGCCTGAGAAAATATTTTGCAACACCACCTCTTGTTCCCCTGTGAAATGATTTCTGAGAAAACAAGTGCAGAAATTCCACACTGGTGATGCGTCACTTATGGGTAGTGCTTCTGTCTGGATAAAGCCAATTTTTTTAGCCAATCAGAAGGCTGCACTACCCAGATCTGGGTAGTGGTGCAACATCAGTATGGAATTTTTGCAGTTGTTTTTAAGATATCATTTAGCAGCGTCGTGTTGGCTGGTTTCTCAGGTTATAACTTATCCCAAAAATTGCATCAGTGTTATGGAACTCGAGTGAACACTCTAACTTTTGCTCCACCACTGCTTCCCCAAAAAGTCATAGCCCAGGGGCCCGTTTCTCGAAAGTCGTAGTAACTTTTCAGGCCCGAAATCAAATATTCAAATCGAAATATAAAGAATAAGAGTGCGGTTCCTGGCTAGCAAACCACTCCATTTTGTTTCATTAACTAATAGTTTTATTATGTTAAATGCAAAACTACTGAAACCTTTTTCTTGCATGTAAACCAAAACAGCTTTACAGGTCCGTTAATTATCAGGACTTTTGAGAAAGGAGCCCTAGGGCTGAAAATAATTATTCTTCTCTTGAGAAGGACATATGTCCTAATAAGACACCATCTTGGTCGGACATTTAACAAAATTTTGGTTGGACATCACCATAAAAAAAGCTTGAACTTTATTTGTATATCCTGTCCCTAAAATATGAACAAACGCAAACGTTTTGCTACTTTCGAGAAGCATTATGCTACCTTTCAAGTAAATTAGAAGACATACTATGATAATGTAAAAGAAAACTTCATTACCCAAGTCAATTTTGTTTTGTGACTTTGAGGATTTACTCAAGGTGGATTTTTATTCTTTCTTACTGTAAAATGATTTACAATAAAAAAATTAGCCAGACGTAATGTCCGAACACAGGTAAGATTTTGTCAGACTCTAAAAAATTTTGGTTGGCTGATGTCCCATGACTGACTGTTATTTGCAGCCCTGCAGTAGCCAGTCTGATTATCTTTAACCTTTTAACTTCCAGTATTATGCAATTTCTCCCTTCTGTTCTCATATGTTTCTGATAGGAATAGTGGGGAGAATCTGTGAAATGTCATTCTCAATGCTGAGTGATCCTCCTTTAATTTCTCATGACCTGCCAGGCTGCTTGATTAAGCATTTATGTTTTAATTGCGGAGGAATTTGGTAACAACCACAACTGAGGCTTAAAGGGCTAAATTCTATAGGCCATGTAATAATATATTATCATATTATTGCACGCATTTTAGGCATCCTACTGATGAACAGTTATTTTTTAGCAACTAAGATAATTTGCGGTCTGTCTACTTTGAATTTGAATATATTGTCTCAACTGTTGTACAACACGTTGGTTTTTAATAGTTACTTGTTTATTTTAATCTATTGAGTTGAATCCATATCATGTTCATGATTCGTACAAAACAGCTTTTTGTTTTAGGAAAAAATCTTCACAAGAAACTTCAAGAAACTGTTATTACTGTAGTAGAAGACTGCCAAGCTCTTGCAACATCATTTATAAAGGAAGGTTGTTCCAGGTATGGATACTTGTATATTTCTTGTCTGTTTAACTGATATCGTAAGTAGGTAGAAGTTATATTTTGGAATGGACTAAAGTTACACTCTATTCGCCTTTAATTAACCAGCCGTGTTACTTCTCGATTGTATACAGGGTCTCCAGTAAGCCCCTCAAACATTACCAGTGGTAAAAATTTGAGGATGCCAAGTATTAATACTTAGCATCAATACTTACTAATTGATGCTTTGTTGAAATGATAAAGAAATAAAAAAACTCTTCTTAACAAATGGGGAGCTGAGTTAAATAAAATGGAGATTCAAACAAAACGGTAGATCCACCACACAAGTTTGAGATAAATAATGCAAGGGAGCTTATGCAAGAAAATATGGTGTTGCAAGTCACAGAGTGCTGGGCTAGATTGGGTAAATGAGAGTCCAAGAATCTTCATCTGATGGGGTCCAATGTTTCCTGTGTTTACGATGTACTTCTTTGCATATAAAGAAGACAGCTTTTGCACCAAGAGCTTCAGTAATATATTGATCATACAGGGCTCAAAATAATGGCAGAATGGCAACTTGTCCAGCCAAAAACCTAACTAACCGTTGATGTTAAGTGGTCACATGCACTCTCATTCTTTAACAAACAGCCAAATCCTCGCCTGTAAATCTTACAGTTTTGTATTTTTGTAAAAACACAAATAGTAAATTTCACCAGAATTAGTTAAGTTTTTTTCCCTTAAATTTTTACTGGTCAGAAACAAGACTGACCAAGCAAGAATTTCTTTGCCTGATCATTGTGTCTAGCAACAGTCTGAAAATTAATAAGTTTCATCCCTGTCACACTTAAGTCCTTTATACAGTGGTGGTATAAGTCTGTTGTACAGTCCTTTATACAACCTCGATATAACAAACCTCTTTATAAGGAAGTAGTAATAGTAAACGATATGAAAAAGAACCTCAATATAACGAAACCTCATGATAGCGAAGATGTTGCCAGTCCTTTTGCCCTTCATAATATTGAGGTTGCACTGTACAATGATCAGTTATCAGGGCTGTGCTCTAGAAGAGCCCGGTGGCCCCTGGCACCCAACTGTTGCTCTTGGGTGACAAGAAGATCTTAGTTTTTTCATACAAATCATATGCTGGGCACACTAGATTTTACAGGTTCAGAGCACTGGGCTCCCTTCAATTTTTCTTACAGCACAGACTTTTTTAAGCTATAGAATGTTGTCTTGTCTGCCTGTCTGATTCTCTCTGATTTGTCCCTTATCATGTACAGTGTTGCTAGTGCTAAGACTCAGTCAACTGGAACACTATGGGCACACTGTGATGGCCTTCAACATCTTCCAAAAGGTTAATGCTCTCATTTGTCTACAGTGGAATACTGATAATACTAGAGAAACTATTCCATGTCTTCTGAGAAATATTTGGCCTAAATGGGTATGTAGTGCAGAGTATGGTTTTTAGGGTGTGGTAATATTCACTATTTAGTGTCTTGAAAAGGGTGTCGTTTTGGGTTAGAAACATTTGTGGTACATGAACCAGCAACTTGTTTCCAAAAATATGGAATTCTATAATCATAGTTTAAAACAATTACGTAATCCTTTATGTTAAACAAAGTAAATCAGGGTCATTAATGAGGTCTCCTGTCTGAAAAAAGAGCAGCAAATAAAAATTAACAATTTTTATCTTAACCCGGTCAGGCGTCGGTGGCCCATTCCTACCCAAAGTGCCCTTCAAATCCCCTTAGGGTGGGATGGGGGGCTCATCATTCCCTTATTATTTTTGTCCCCTCTTCCGCTGTATAGGCAGGTACAAGGTTATGTAAATAATGATTGTTGTCTATAGAACAGTATGTTATTAAGGAAGGAGTGACCAGGATTTTGGAGTGATTTTTTAGCTTTGAAATTTTTGTTCCTTACTTTGGATGCTGTGGGAGGAATAGCAAGAATTTAATTATTATTGTTTGGACTACTTTCCTTTGGTACCCTTGATAGTTCCAAGAGTGATCAACACCAATTTTTTTCTAACATTAACAATACATACTCAAGAGAAAAGGTTATAAGAACTAAGAAATTGGTCACTAAAGGAAAATGCTCTGATCTTTAAACAATTTCTCGCAACCAATTCCTTATAAGTAAATGTATGAAGACTGGCGTGGAGAATACAAGTGGATATAATGTGGCTTAGAGGGTAAAGGGGTTTTTGATTTTTGATTCCATGGATGCAAGTGAACAGGTGTTGTAAGTAAGGATGTTAGAATGTTACAAGGCAATTAAAAGACGATAGCATTTAGGTTCTAAAATGATGATTATCTTTTTGTCAGATAATAAACAGGCAGTCATAGCAGTACTGGAGTCTAATTCAGAGCTCATTAAAGATGCACTGTCAGAGCTTGATGAAGTAAGTAATGCCTTTCTCTTTTTCATCTGGGAATGGTTGTTTTAGCCTGTTAACATTCCCCCCCCCGGCCCCCATTTCTATGATAAAAGAAAATATTGGGAGGGAGGGTCAGGGGAGGAGTTATTTTTTATTTGATTTGATTTTACCAGCTTTTCTAGACACAGGCCTGCCAAGAGGGAATGGGCACAAATGGGACTCAGGTCCCATGCGAGGTGCAATCCCTACCCAATCCCACAACCCGTAAAGGTTGGCCACGCCACCGAGGTGTACGTCCCCTACTCTTTTCAAACAGTAGGGTGGGTTCTTTTATGTCCCCCAAGAACAGATCAGTGAAAGTGGTGTGAGACGGGACCTACGGTTTTTCGTCCTTACCCGTGAAGACTAGAAAGTCTGACCGTTTGCAGATGTCATTACAAAGGCAGCACTTTCTTCTCAGTTATTTAGAGACCCTGACTGTTGGTCTGGTCAGGGTTTGAACCCATGACCTCCCGCTTGGCAGACTGGCACTCTCCCAACTGAGCTAACCAGGTGGTGGTTAAACCAGTTTGGCTGGCCACAGGCTAGTGTTCAAAGATTTATCAAATTTCGTTTATAGAGGCACAGTCTTTGGCTATGTGTATGATGTTGATTCCCAAGACTGTTACAGATGGTGCACTGGTGCAAACAGTGCACCGGTGCACTAGTGTATCGGTGCCTCAGTGCACTGGTGCACTAGAGCAGAAAAAAGCTTCATATTCATAAGCCATTGTCAGAGTATTAAGAATGATCATAAATAGATTTTTTAATTGTGTATTAAAGTAAACGGTGCCGAGTACTGAGGACTTGTTGTAACATCTTCCAATTCCCTTTTCAAGTCTTGATTAGCGTGGAGGGTTGATCGATTTAAAAAAGTGAACGGTGCGGTGCACTGTGCTCTTTAAATAGTGCACGAGAGGGTAGAATTTTATTTCATTCTAATTTGGAAGAAGGAGGACTAACACTAGAAAGCTCAGAAAAACATCGACATTGCATTTACCCTGTATTCGGAAAAAATTGTATACTGCCCTACAACTTACAGCCATTTTAAGTTAGTTCATGGCACAATTCAGCGCACTTTCTGAAGATGTGATTTTGCACATTTTTAGCTTCATACCTTTTAGGCTTCCGCGAAGAACCATTTGTCGAGTCTTCAAAATGTGGCACCGAATGGCTTCTGATCCAGCAATAGTGAGAAAGGCCTCGAGTCATGAGTTTGAATCCATTCGCTTGTGCGACACTATAAATGATTGTCAGCTCAAAAATCTCGTTAAAAGAATTATTTGGGCACGCACTGAAGATGTTACAGTGCTTGATTTGGCAAAAATTTCCATATCATGGGAATATGTCGACGACGTGTCCAGAAGAAGTCACTGGAGAAAGTTGCGTTTTCTTTTTTTTTTGGGTGTCTTATTTTTAACATCCTCACAGGGAGGTGCTTTTTTTTGCGCTAGAATTGAACTGAAATGTGAACTGCCGTTTTGAAACACCCCGCAACAAGTCATTTTTTACCACGTCATTTCCCTTAAACCCAGAAGTTACAATCAAGAGGCCCAATTTGACACCGGGAAAATAGAAATGTGATACTAGGTATTACCGGTATATAACAAGCTTACCCTAGAGAATTTGTTTGTTAAAAAAAGTTTCTTCAGTAGTTTCTCGGCAAACCAAAGCGACTCCTTGCTCAAAATTGACTTTACCCGGTCAAAAAATGTCTACTCGTCTAGCACTTAAAAGTTACAAATACGCTTTATTTTATTTTCCCCTGGACAACACCCTGGAAACGGCAAAGACAAGTAAAATTGTCTCGAGTATGGCAAAAGTTAAAGGAAGCGTGGTGGAAGTTAACTGGGATGCTGCAAATCCATGTATTCCCGCTAAAATTATCGCCTTGACTGGTAAGTGTTATTGTTTTCGTTCTGAAATAGAGCAACAAGAACAGCTTTCCACCACAAAGTTCTTCATTGTTTTTAGTACTAATATATAATCTTAGATTTTTGGCTCCAAAAGACCACACATGTTGTGATTGATTAATATTACGCCAGTTTCTTCATTTGTACATTACCACAAAAGGGCAATTTCAGGACTCAAAATAATTTTCGGACTTGGGTGGCAGTCGCGTTACCCGACGAAAAAATTTTTGCTCGGTCAAGACCGCCTTTTTGACACTTCAAAATATAGCAAATGAAAAAAAAAAAATACAAAAAAAGGCTTTAAGGTAGCATCCAAAGAAGCAGAAATACCGTAAAAGGTCTGCTATTGAAAAGACACTGCGAAAGTTGAATGAAGATTTTTTAAGTTTAAATAATTCAATACGCTTGCAAATCACAAAAAATATGGACAATAAATGTAGAGTTACAAGATTGTTGTCGAAAGCGTAACTCACGATGGTGGACATAACCTGTAAATTTTATTTTATGGTAACTCAGTTATGATTAAATTTCCTTCAGATACGGAGCTTGACTTGAAACGGGTTCGAACATCCTGCGCTGGTGAACAATTGAAGCTAACAAGTGAAGAAAAGGACCTTGTCCATCGGCCACGGTCAAGTAAACGAAGCAACAAAGAGGACACTACTGGACACCAACGAAAGCGTGGTAAAAAAATTCCGCAGTGTTGATGACCGTCCAAGCACTTGAAAACAAACCAGTGTTATCGGGCGACCTCCAGTGACTATTGAGCTGCGCTCTTCTCCACTGCCCTCAATAGAGGGTAATAGCTCAGTTGGAAGGTCCAAGCAACTTGCCGATTGCCCAGCTGAAAAGCATCTCAGCGCTGGCCTTGAGACTGATACATGTAACCAAAACGTTCCGATAACTTCACAGCCCGGTAATTTACTGACACCTTCCGCTCTGCCAGCGACTGAACTTCAACCATCTAGTGCAAGCACTGATCAAGTGTTTCCCCTTGAGAGTTTTGTTCCAACATCTCCTGGAGCAGAAATTTCCATGGACGTTGATATTTTGCAGGAAATAGCTACGTGTGATGACTTTGGTAATCAAAGCTTACCACCTCTGGCCATAACGTACGCATCAGCTGTTGCCGACGCCACTACAAATACAACTACATATTCTGCTCTGCAGCCAGTTAAAACCACCTATAATGTTTTGCCCTCAGTGTCATCTTTTGATGTTCTTAACACTCTTCCGGGAGGTGCCAACCTTAGCCACATAAATAGGGGCCTAGGTACCCCTCTGTTTCCCACCCAACCCCCTCCGTTACACCAAGTGAAAATAAAAGAGCAATATTAAATACTCTTTCATTGCTTCTCTCGAATCAACAAGTCATTTTGAACAAGGAATGGTGAATAATCAGGCACCAACCTCTTCCAGATCGGAAAACGTAGTGCAATCCAATATTGCCTTGGACCAGTCGGACGAAATACCTCATACCTCATGATAGAGCTGCAGTGTAAAACAGGTTTTTATTATTATTATTATTATTATGATCATCATTATTATTATTATTATTATTATTATTATTATTATTATTTTTTCATTTTGTGATTATAATAATATTTGAAAAGGGGGCCCAAATCACCATGGTAGTTTTCAGTGTGGCCCTCATTAGTTAAACAATATTAATTCATTAAGTAAGTAAGTAATTTAAGACAAAAAGTTTAATAAAAATAATAATGGTGCTTTAATGCTTATTTCGTTGTATCCGATTGTGTTGTCCTTCTCTTAATTTGGAGTAACAACTATCAGTACAGGAATTTCTTTTTTATGGTTAACTTGCCTTCAGTTTTTTTGTTGTTGTTGTTGTTTTGATTTGTTTTTGTTCTGTTTTGTTTGGTTTGTTTTTATTTATTTATTTTTTTTTTTGGGGGGGGAGTCAGGATCCCAGTTCATTTTACACACAACCGCCTTCAGGATTTCTCAGTTTTGTGGAAGAAATTTTCCTTTCAATTGCGTACATTTGTGGTTTGTGACCCTCCTCCCCCACCCAACCAAGAGCTTCACTTGGTTTTAATGCTCCCTTATAAATACCGATTGTTTAATTACTTCAATTACTCGAAAAAGCTACAACGATTTATGCAAGATACATACGACACCATTAGTTTTCTATCGTTCTGTTTCTTGCTAAATATAAGATGCTGCACACAAAGTATTTGTCTCAAATCCATTTGGTCGTTTCGTAAACGTCAACGCAACATAGGTCCTGCATAACTCACTAGACAGTGCTTAGGAATGACTTAGAATCCATTTAGCGATTCAAGAATATCAAGATGCTCAGACAGTTCAATTATTTCCCTGTCGTTGCTTATCTGACTTTCAAGCTCAGGGCAGATGTAGAGCGCAGTAGCCGTATAAACGACCGCCAGTTTTCCTTTCTCTATACAGTAGGAATGAAGGGAGGGATCGTCTTGTCGTCTTATCAAGAAGTGGCCCCTTTCTACTTCAGCTCCTGGTGGAAAGCACATGCCCCAGTCATCCTTAACCCTTTTTCGGAGATGCTCTGGGCCATTTCCAGTTATTTTAAGTAAGTAATATTCTTCCCCAGGATCAGGATTGACTTTCTTCACTAAGAAAAAAATTCGCCTTTTAAGTTGCACGTTTTCGGACTGGTAGCGTGAAGGAGACGGAGTCTTAGGGTTATATTGAGCAAAATTATAAAGGTCTTCCTGCCCCTTAATAACTGCCATGTCTGCCTTATGTCTTAAATTAGCCCCTGCGCCATCTTGCGGACCTTTAGTCGTTCTGTAGCCAAAGTCTGAGTTGGAAAAGGAAACATCCCCCATACAGTGACGACTCTTGTACTGGGCAGAACAGCCATCAGTCCACTCGTGCATCACTTCAACATCGTACTTTATATCTTCTAGATATTCTGCCACCAGTTTTCGCACCTGATGGACTGAGTGGTGGTCATGTTTTGTGTCTGGGGAAATAACAAAAATGTGTTCTGTAACGATGACTGGCTCCTCTAAGGTGCTGTCAACACCATCAACATCTTTAATCGCGTGCTTGTGTAAAACAGTTACATGTATGGATGCCTACGTTTGGGAATAATATTGGCTCTGCAACTAGTTCTGACTTGTGCAGCTATAGTTCTCTGAGTAGTCATGGATACAACATACGTGCTCAGGGGGTAGATGTTCTATCAGATCTTTCATCTGTTTGCTTTGCCAACTTGCACGAAACTGGTGGGAAGAAAAATCACGCAGTAAAGATTTTAAGTTATCAAACATGACACCCGGAGTTGTTTTTTTCTTCATCAGCTGAAGCTTCTTCTTTTCTTGTCCATCCTGTGTTTGGCCCAATGGTACGTATTCAAATTTCTGCCACGTTACTAAGGGAGCGTTATGGCTGACATCTTTCTCTTCATTCAGGAGCTCCAGTTTGTTTACGCCACATCTATCACATTCTCTGTTAACGCACTCTTTGCGATGATAGCTATTGCTTTCCACCTTAGGGCACATCGTTTTGTTCACCATATCATTCAAGTGTTCAAAAATTGGACAATTTTCGTCTTGACCATTCTTAGCAATGACACTTCTACGAAATTTTAAGGAAGATTGAAATACCATCCGTGTCTCAACATGAAGCCGACAACGGCAAGTAATTTTGTCTTGGCTCCTTGGGGCCACTACGAAAAATGGTTTGCGTGTTTCAAAACTTCTCTGACCCATCTTAACTTCTGGATGCTTGGCTTTAAATTCTAGGTACGCTTCAGTCTGTTTTTTCCAACACTTGGTTTGCATGACAGGTGTAGGTTCTTACAGCCACTCTTTTGCGAATTGTGTCTTTCTTGTTACCAGTGGGTCTGGAAATGCCAGGACTCGACCAGAAATCGTACGCGAGCTTGCGGTGTTCAGAGGGGATGGAATCTGATCGTGTCTGTCTTTCCCCTTTTCCCTCCCTTCCTATCCCCCACCCCTCTCAACGCCCACTACGTAGTCTTTGTTGAAACTTACTGTAAAACTCTTGGAAATGCATTTCAGAATGCATGTCAGTGCTCCTGTTTGTAAACTGATGAGTGAAAGGTTTTTAATAGGCATCATCATGAAAATCCTTTCTGAGAAACTCACTTTTATGAATAGCAGAAAAGAACCTACACGTATTGTCTCTGTGGGGTAGTGGAAAGGGAATGCTAATGATTTGTTTTGAGAATAAAAAGGGTTGGGCTTCATGAAGAAAAGAACATATCATTTATCTTCCGTCAAATTACTTCATTTGTGAACTGGTTACCTGTACATGTACGTACAGGCTGACATGCCTCAAGGATTCATCAGGGAAAAATTCAGGATAACATGATAATAATCTTTTTTTCTAGGCTCAAAAGTGTAATGGATGTCAAGGTGATAATGATGATGATGGCGATGACACAGAAGCCATTAAACAGGGTTGGTCATCTGAAGATAAACTGTTGGTTCCACCTTGTGTAGGATTAGTCAAAGTAAGTGATTCAGTTGATTTCAAAGTAGACCCTCATTAATTGATTGTGGAACCCGCTGTATGACTGCCCCGACAACTCGCACAAAGCTATACTGGCTGAACCTCAGGTTAATTCACGCTTAGGCACATACACCTAATTGCAATAACGTTGTCCTAGAAAAATGAAAAAAGGAAAAAGCCAAATAGAAATTAATTAGACTAATAAAGCCACATTCTTAGGGTGGATTCATTTGCGCACGTAGCATTTCCAGCTAGAATTTTTTTTAATTGTTTTTTAGCTTTAAAACGATTGGCCAATCGAACAATGCCTTCTGTATATTAGGGTTTTCTTTGGTGGGAAAACGAAGAGTCCATGTTTTGATCTCTTCATCCATTGGCAGACAAACAAACAACGAACACTTACCGGAACCATTTTTCAAGGTCATAAGAAAATTGCTCCTTCATTATCTCCTTCATTACCCTAAAGGAGCATTCCGCGTATGGATGAAGGTAGAAAGTAATGTTTTTGGAACGAAATTGACCTAAAGCAGGAGTATCCTCACGATAAGGTTCTTAACACCTAAATAATAGGACTAAGTGACTTCATGGCTGTGTAGTTAGGTGAGGAGCTTCGGGTGAAATGAATATCGGGTGACTTGAGTTCGTCTATACCACATCTCTCTTGCTGTTATATCTGGCGTGAAAAGACGATTTGAGTAATTTCCTCATTCACTTAGTCTCCAATCTGCGAGCTACAAAGGAGACGTTGTCAACACAACCAACACAACAACAGATAAACTTTGAGTCCCCATCTGTCATCTTCTCATAATTCTTTTTAGTTAATATGTAGCAATTCGAATTCGGCTTTATAGTATGACTCAAAAATAACGTGTACCTTAAGGCGCGTCCCCCGCACCCATTCCCCTTTTTCCCGTCCCTTCGGGTTGATTTCCACTGTCGCGTAATTTTTCCGTCCGTACGTACACACGTAAATCTTCCGCGCGTAAATAAAATCGAAAGACAATGTATGGAAGGTCATGCGTATTCGTAAAAGTCAAAAACCCCGCTCAACTTTTACGTTTACGCCTAGCCTTTCATACACTGTCTCTATTTCATTTAAGCACGTAAATTTTACGTGCGTTCGCACGGAAGAATTTCGCGACAGTGGAAGTCAACCCTGAGGCCGGATTAAGCTGCAATGCGATATCTTTCCCTAGGCCTGTCGATCGTGCGTGAAGAAGATTTCTGGAGCAATTAAAACTTCAGGTCAAGTAACTTCTGTCGAGAGTATTCAACAATTGGACGAAATGGCAGACGAGGTCTTAAGGACCAGTCCAAGGTAAAAATATTTGGCTTATTATAACAATCACGGGCAGTTCAACCATTGTCGTCACGTTTTGTTTGAATTTCCATATCATTTTGAATGCGCAAAGGAATCTTATCCCCGGGAGATTTGAATTGGGTACAACATTGAGTTAGCCGAATAGGTCTATTGTCGTCATGTTAGCGCAGGAAAAGCGCGAGAGATAGACCCTTCCAAAGACCAGTTAGCGAATATCAATTGACACTGCTGGAAAGAGCGCCTTAAAATCAGGAAATTTACAGAGATATTACCCCAAACAGTTGTGAAATCTTACAGACCTTTTAATGGTTGTGAGACGAACTTTCCTCCCTCCACCTATATACAAACGCCTGTAAAATTCCGCGAATTGCGGAGCTATATCTTTGTTGGCTCACTACAAATGAGAAATTTCGCTGAAAATTGATTGGCATGTTCACTAATTTTAAGGGGTTCTTTTTAGCCGTGTTGACGGATTTCACTAACTGGTCCCAGTCATAAGTTTTTAACAAACCTTGGAAGGGTCTGTTTTCCACTGACTGAACTAGAATACATTAGACAGTCACTGTGCAATCATCTGTTAGCTGTTCTGTACGCTAGCATGGTGTTGTACCGTATTAAGAGTACTTCACTAAGGGGTCAGAGCTTGCACAGTAGGCGTTATTTAGCCTAGCGTGAAACGTTATGCACGGTTAAGCGCAAATGAGAAAGACAAGCTGGATTAGTATACTGAGAAACGTAGGGAGTGACAGGTACAGCTGAGGCATGAATACGCGCGTGGTTTTATTGAAGAGGACTGAAAGTTAAACGCACATGGAAGAAGCCAAGAAGCGGGAAGAGAAAAAGACAGCCAGGATTCTTAAGTCGTAGTGTAGCAGGGCGCGAACGGTCGGAGCGAGAACAGAGAGAGGAAAAACAAGATGTCTTTTTTTAAAGGGGAGGAGAGAGAAGGGGAAAAGGAAAGGAAACTAGTTTCTTTGCCTTCCCCCGCTTCGTTTGTATTGCTAGCGCCCCATATTCTGTACTTTATACGGCTCTGACGTTTGTTTCTTTTTCCATTGCAGTGTCGATGATGTTGTTATGAGTCTCTATTATCCAATGAATCGTCAAAATGTCAAGGAATGTGTAAGTTAAGTTTGCATTATGTGTATAATCCGTGTGATGGGAAGTGAACTTAATATGTATCTCAAGCTAAAAAATGTTGCTTTTCGCATTTTTTCTTCAATACAGACATCAAAGCTAGCTGATCAGTTGAAAGAGTTGCTTACCAGGGCAAGGTAAAAACCTTGACATGAAACGTTTTATCTAATTTTATAGAAGTTAAAGTAGCAAGCATCTCAAAAACGGTCGTGTTTAAGTACCGTAAAATTCCGAAAATAAGCCCCTCCAAGTATAAACCCCTCCAAATATAAGCCCCCCAAACTCGTAACGCAAAAAACCCTCCGTTAAATCACCCCTCCAATATAAGCTCCCCCCCCCCCCGGGCGGGCTTGTACTTGAAAATTGCCCTCAAGTACAAAGTAAAACAAAGAAAAACGGTAAATTTCCTTCCAAGAATAAGGCTATCCCAAACGATTTGGAAACGCAAATTTCCATCCGTAGATAAGCCCCTCCGAATCTCATGATTGCACGAGCTTGTAGTTTGGTGAGTTATCAAAACTGAGTCAAGTTTAATGCATGTAACAGGTTTTAAACGCGAGAAGTCGCTTTCGGGCGTGATCAGGTTGCCTATATTCCCTTTGGTAGATGATGGTTTTCAATTGAGCGTTGAGAGCATTCCAAACGTAGTTGCACTAATTTTCTATTGCGACGTTATGTGATATTGCTGAAAAAATCTTGTGCTGCATTGTGGACCAATCAGTGAAAAGGTCAAAAGCAACGCTGACCTGCTCACGCACTTTTTTCCCGCGCTTACAAGCCATACACTTCTGGCTTGAGTTCTAATTGGTTGATCGGATTGTCTGCCCACTTCTGATTGGTCAGAATTATTACTTTGGTTTTGGTTTTACGACGCTCTTCTTAAAAAGTGTTAAACTTTTTTTCTTTAGGAATTCTCATTTTACCGTGGACTCAGATTCTTCTTGGCTTGACTTTTTGAACAAAGCAATCGACCACAATCAGAACAAAATAACGGGTCTTCTTCAAGAGCAAGAAGGATCAGATACGTGATTTATTAAGTGAATAACTAGTAAATCAATTCTGCCGAACTGAATTAGGAGTCGTCATTCTGCCGAGTAAAATGAGTAATGATAAAAGCCCTAGAAGGCGAGAACAGATCGGTCGAGTGAACAAAAGTGCACATCACTACATGTAGAAATTCCTCCTCTAGTCTTCCTGTTCTTAAAGAAACGCTCGTGCCAATTTATAAATGATATGGCTGATAGTACCTTTTTAAATTCATGGAACAAGTTTAGCTGCTCTTCACAGATCTATTTGAAGTGAAGCATTGAATAAAAAAAAAAAACTTGGAAAATAATCTATTGTAGTTGTTGATGTGTGTTTGATCCTTCATGGTACTGACTTCATAGTCGTACCCTAAACATGGCAGGCGCCTGTGTTAAGTTTTACTTGGTCTGGCCCTTTTGGAAAAAGAACTTTAATTGGTTGCCTTGGTTTTGAGATGAGGCCTTGCTCCCAATTTTTGGTTTGTTATAGCAAAAACAGTTAAAGCTAACAACCGAGCCGGCGTATGCCTCAGTCAGTTAAAGGCGTCGATTAAAACAAGATCCCCATAACGGGGGTTCATTGGGATGCTGGCTGCTGCGCGATGCAGTGGTTTAATATTTCGGGAAGACACATTACAACTACACTTTTTCCGGCTTGAGTGTAAGTTGCTCCTAACCCTTGGAGTGAGCGTGTAACTTCTACCAGTATGAATGAAAATAGGCAAGTTAGCCGTATGAAATAGGAAACGACTGTCATTATTTTTAACTGGGACATTTCCAACACACACCCCTCTCCCCCAATCCCTCTGCCCCCCCCCAAAAATATAGTATGACAGTATAACTCGACTAATTTGAACTAGACCGGAGATTCCAAAAATTATTGTCGTTCTACGCTTATACAACGTGACAGCGTGAGCACCTCTTGTAATCTCATTTCAATTTTTCCCCATGGCGATTTTTCGCCAGATTCCCAATTTTCGCTGTCGCCTGTATTTCTAGACATAAGTGGACAGGGCCAAATTTTCTTAAAACCCGCAGCAAGTTAAATTTCAGTTTTCTTTCTGTCGGAGATTGCATTTAAATCTTTTCTAACTGAACGGGTCTCGAGTGAATATGCTTCTATTTGAGGGGGTGATCTACAAATAGCATATTCTTTTCTTGTAAGGAAAGACTCTTTACACGCAGGGAGACAATTGAATCAAGTCGAAGCTCTTCCAGTGAGGACCGCGGGCAGCTCCCGCGCAGGCTTACTACATCATAAAATACTGTATTTAGATCATCATTCGGCGTAGATATAAGGCCAACAAATCCACGCAATAATTTGTGTTTATTCAAAATCAACTGCCAAAACTGTTCGCAGGACGACCTGATCCGTTAATTCCCCTCGTAAAAATCGCCCCCATTGAAGGGGTTAGGGACACGCAAAGCCCTCTGGGAGATCCGTCCGCCATTTTGTTGGTGTTGTTTCAGATTTTTGTGTGAAGTAAGAGCGTGTGTTCCAATTTTTTTTTATAACTGCAAGGCGGCAGACAAACCTCTTTGGTTATGTCCACCTGACTGGAGAAATTTAAAAGCTTATGACCAATTATCACATTCACTGTCAGGCTATGAGTAGATAAAAAATTAATTCTCTGTCCTGTCAATTGTGGTGCCTTGTACGTCAAGCCTATCTGAGTTTACTCCTGTGACATGCTTGTTCGTTGGCTTAATCGCGCATGCGTTAATGGGAACTTGTTAAATCAGTTTTTTACGCGAACGTTGATTGAAAAAAGTTCATTGTTCCTGTAATTCGAAGCAAATCCAGAATGATTTGACAACAACAACAACATCAGCTTTAAAAAGTACTTTCCAATCGACAAAAATAAATCAGACAGGCAAATGAATACTACCCATAGCCTGTGTACAGCCACCTGTCCTCCCCTCAGAAAAAATATACAGGCTAACTACCCACAATTTTAAATTAGAACAGTAAACTGATCCTTAAGAGTGATAGGAAAAGTAAAGAAAAAACAAAACAAAACAAAACAATCAATAAAGTGGCGAATTATATTTGCCCCTTATTTCGTAGCCTGCGCGCAGACGAAATTAAACTCTCGTTAACTCCGTCCAGACGGTACTAATCAGAGTTTAGTTATCGTCTGCGCGCAGGCTACTTATTTCGTCACTTAGTTGATAAAACTCACGTTTCGGTGTTTCGCTCCCCACTAACCCCCACCCCCACCTCCACAGTAACAGTCGGTTTCAGTCATTTATATAAAATTTTGCAAGGGAGACGATGAATTTAACGTCCATTACAACTCCCTTAAAATAACGAACTCTAAAAAGTGAGATTCAGTAGAAATTGAAATAAAACATCAAGACAGCATAACAGACTATTTTGGGGTTGGCAATTTAGGCTAAGTAGGTTCTCAGCATCAGGTTCTTATCAATTTTTATGAAGGAGATAATAGATTGCTGATTACCAGAAAACTAAATAAACTTTTTTATCATATATTTATTTACAATTGTATTATTATAGCCCTAAAAAACTGATTACCGAATTTGCAGACAGTTTAGTACATTATGTGTTTGTTGTACTTAAATTTTCAACCCAGTTACACTGGTTACACTCCTTTGTTTATCAAAATTTAACTGCAACCCACATATAACAACCTGCTTGATCTTGTTTGGCTAAACAGAATTTTGTATAGTTGGGTATTAAAGTCCAAAATTTCTGCCAGGAGGTTCTTAATCCACAGTTGCTTATTAGCGGGTGTTCACTGTATTCAAACTCGAAAAATTCTGTTTGTCTTTTACTATTATTCCTCTCTAAGCTTGATTTCCACTGACGCGTTTCGGCTACGCTCGTTAACACACGTAAATTTTAATCACGTAAATAACACAGAGGCAAGATAAAAAGTGCCGAATTAAACGAGAGGTTGAGAGAGGTTCAACTTTTACGCTTACGAGCGACCTTTCATGCATTGCCTCTATTTTATTTGCGAACGTAAATTTTACGCACATAAAAATTACGCGACACTGGAAATCAACCCTTAACCCCGGAAAATATTTACTTAAGGTTCCTGATTCAAAATATATCCGGACACGCGATTATTTCGTATACACGGTAAAATCAATACTGGTAGCCAAAGTTAGGCGCACATTAGAGGATGGGTTCGTAGGCGCGGCGAGAAAACGAAAAAAGATAGCCCTGTTTATGTTTCATTTTGCTCGCTCGCTTCCTCCCTACACTTTGGTGGCATGCATGGTACTGTACTTGCTGTCTTTTGTTATCTCTCCTATGAAAATCGGGAAACGTAGCCTGCGAACGGCAGACGTTTCTCCTCGCATCGCCGCTGAGGGACGTTTCGTGAGACGTCCATCACCGGCGATGAGCGAGGAGAAACATCTACCGTTCGCAGACGGCGGAAAAGCAGCCTGGAACCTGGCTCCGCACGGGGGGAAAAAGGAAAAGAAACGGGGTGAAATAGGAAAAATATCGGTGAGGGAAGCGAACCGAGCGCGGTGCTCTGGGGAGGGGGAAAGGGAACGTGGCTTCCTCGTTCCCAAACCTCGTTCCGTATCCCAAGTTCTGTGTCACGTTCCGGCGCTCTAGTGAAGAGGTGGTTACCAAGCTCAAAGATGGCGGGTAGTTCTACGATCTTTCCTTTCGTAGCGGCGCATGATGCCTGGCATCTGATTTAAAATGGAGGATCATAGCAAACGATATCTTTCTCTGTGGATCAGTTTGATGAAATTGGTGGCAGTTTTTGGATTGCTTGGAATGGTTGCTGTCCATGTACCGGGGAAAGAACTATGCTAAAACCCTGTAAGCTGAAACTTTTTAACTGCTGAAGGTGAGTAAAAGAGCAATATGTAACCTTATCGCTAATCCAACCCTCATGATATAAACGAATGGTTTATAAGTTGCATCGTTGGTAAGAATTTTGCTTGTTGGCGTCAATGCTTAGGCGGAAATCCAACGAACGTTAACAGCTGTACATGAAACTGCCTGTTGTTTCAGCCACGTATTGTTTAATCAGTTGTTGTCACAATCAATTGTGTTCCTGTTGTAAAAAGACATTTCATTCTTACGCAAGCTCAGCCATTTGGTTGGCTGCACACAGTGTTTCTCTATTATCAGTGAAAATTCTTTAGTTAGAGGAAAGGTAGTGAAATGCTGAGGAGCAAAAAACTATAAAGGTTTGAGGTACTGAAAAAATTGGGTAACCACCAATTGACAGTTCTCTCGAGATTCGAGATAAAAATGAAAGCCTTTGCAGTATCCCTAAATAATCGTGTGACTGTTGATTGAAGAAGATTTTATCATGGAACCTCACAAGAAAAAAAGCGCATGATTACAGTCTGTTTTCTTTGTGTCTCAGTCTATGATATTTTCTTATTACAGATGCGGCTGTTTATTCTTTTGGCTGTTTTGTCTTTCTTTGATGAACATGGGGTTGCAGAAGGTCTCAAGTATACTAACACGTGGGCTATGCAGATAGATGCTAATGTCACAGAGGCATTAAAAATTGCTGGAAAGTATGGATTCACGTTTAAAATGGAGGTATAATATAGTATAATATATATGAGACATTGATATGTTGTAGTTCAATTTTATCCTTGGTTTGAATTTTTTTATCTTTGTTGTTTTGGGGTATGGTAATGTATGATAATGACCTTGAAACAAAGGAGAATAAAATTTAAAACAAGGATAAAATTAAAAACCACATAATACTTGTACAGACTGAATTCAAGACAGAAAGACGGAAATTCAAGACAGAAAGACCAGAACTGTTTGAATTTTAAGACAAATGCAGCCTATAACACAGGAAAAATTTCAGAATCCCCATTTTGGGTTTAAAAAGGGAAATAATTGGGATTTCAAAGGGATTTCTTTGGGAAAACCCAAAATTGGGAAAGTGCTACCAAAACCAAGCATGGGTTTTTAAAATCCCATTTTATTCCCAATAATGGGATTTTTCAGTCCCAAGTTTTACCCAAGAATGGGTTATTTTTGGGCCAGTTTTTTCCCAGTATTGGGATTAAAACTTCCCATTCTATTCCCAAAAATGGGATTTCTAGGTCCCAAGTTTTACCCAACAGTGGGTTATTTTTGTGCCAGTTTTTTCCCAGTATTGGGATTAAAACGTCCCATTTTATCCCCAATAATGGGATTTCTAGGTCCCAAGTTTTACCCAATAATGGGTTTTTTTTGAACCTGGTTTTTCCCAATATTGGGATTGAAATTTCCAATCCAAATCCCAACAAGTCTAGAATAGACAAACAGCTTTTGTCCAAATCAACTAAGATAATGCATTATATTTTTCTTTTCAAACAGTTTTAATACACTTAACTATATTTTTGGTTTAAATAAAAACATAGTGCATATTTTGTACAAATAAACTATTTGAATTTATTTATATAAGTAAGTATACATGTCTTAGAATTTCAAAATGTCTCATTTGAATGTGTCCATCAATGTCTCAAGTGCATTTAGACTGACTGGTTGTTCAATTTACAGTATAATATGGAAAACATCAATACTTCTTGCTATAATAAATAATATAAAACATTAATGAATCCCAACACAACCTTTTTCAAATGTAAGGTGTTTCCATCGTTAAAACTGTCAGTACCCTTGAGGAAAGGTTATAACAATAAACTCTTTCAAAGTTTTCAGAAAAAAACACAGTCCTTTTAGGCATTAATTGTCATAAAATCAACATCATCACATCACTATTAAAGTGATGAAAGGTAACTTGTTTCAGTCTCCTTGTTCACTTTTATCATAGCCATCTTCAGCTGCGTAGGATCAACAGGTTCATCAGCGATTTCCACATACTTGTGCCTTGCTGGCTTCTTGGACACCACTTCCAACAGTTGAGATAGTGAGGGGCGTGAGATTTCTAGGTGTGACAGAGAATCTCTTCTTCAGCAGCTTTGAGATCTCCTCTCCACCCAAAACACTTCCACATATAAATCTCACAATCATGTTGCAAAGTTTTGGTGACAACTGAATACCGCTAATCCCCTCTGCAGTACTAGCCTGGGAAGGTGGTGGGTCTCCTTTTTCGTTTTCAGAGTTATCTGGTGAAAGTGTTGATCCAAAGCTACCAATATCGCCACTGTCCTGCAATTTTAAAATCAGTAATGCAAATCAAAAACCTTTAACCTTCAATGTTAAAAAATAATAATAATCCAAAGGGAAGAAAACAGGGCTTTGACCAGTTTAGGATGTTATGTACCAGTAACATACACACATATTTTTAGTGTATTATAAATCATAAGCTTATATATTAGCTGAGATGAAAACCTAGAAAGCTATGACCTGCACTTCTGCCAGTTTTACATATTCAAAACATGTATCGTGCGAGACAGTTTTTTTATTCTCAATCAAGTCAGTGCTTGGAACGGGTATATAAAATAAAAGAGATTTTACATTTAATTCAAAGAAAAAGAGAAGTAAGCTTTAAACCTCAACCTCTCGACTTCATGAAACTTTTTTTCTAGCAAAAGTTCAGTATGTAGGCAAAATGGACGGCCATGGAATAAACAAGTAAACTTTACATTTGCTAGGAAATATTGATTTAATATTGTTCAAGTCTTCGCCAATGCAAAGTACCACAGATTGTTGTTGTTCAATAAAAGCACGCCAAAAAGTAAAAGAAAACTAAAAAAGAGAGAAACGTGGAAGGTTTGTAGCATTCTGGGCCGTTTCCCGCCGAAAATATAAAAGCAACGTTCGTACCTTCAAACGCTTTCCCCACTGCTTCTCCACAACATTCTTTGATTCGTTTTAAGATTTCCTCTGCACTTGGATTCTCTATATCCTCAAATTGTTCTTTTCTTTCATCTTTATCCGTTTTCTTTGGCTCTAAGTCTGAATTTTGTGAGGACGAAGCAAGAAACAAAGCCATCTTCTGAACGGGAGTTTGAATCGAGCGAGCCGTTCTTGTGCGCATGCGGGAAAAGAGAACTGGGGCAAGCATTCTCGTCCCCAAGGCCACTCGGCTTTCTTTCTTTCTTAAAGACACGCGGCGATGGCGACTGGAATAGAAAACTTAACTCTACAGTAACTTTTACCTGATCCAATTTTTCACCCAAACTTTTCCCACCGTAGGAAAACTATGTCCCATTCCTTCCTAGAATTGGGAAAATCCAAAAACATTTAACAACTCTGTTCCCAATGTTTTCCCATTTTTGGAAAAATATTTCCCAAATCCCAAAAAAATTGGGACGAGTGGAATGAACTCTTAAGATTTCCCAATATTTTCCCAAAATAGTACTTTCTATTTTCTCCAAGACAAAATTTTCCCAATTTTTTTGTCCAATATTTTCCCAAAGAAGGAAGTTCATGTCCCAATTTTTCCCCAGAATTGGGTAAATTCCCATAATATTCCCAAAATGGAGTTTTGAAAATATAATTATTATATTGTCCCAAAAAAATCCCTTTTTTGTGATCTTAAAAGTGGTTCAACTTCCCAAAATTTTCCCAATTTTGGTAATTTCGTTCCCAATTTTTCCCCAATATTATCCCTAAATTGGGAAAATTTACAGGAATTTCCCAATTTGGGAATCTGAAATTTTTCCTGTGTAATGTGTAGATATTGTTGTAGACTAGTTTAGTATTACTTTATAGGTTCAGGTTTATCTTTAGTTTGTTGTTTGTTTTGAGTATGTTATAATTTGCGAGTTGTTGCAGGAGTTAAGCTTTGAGCCAAGGGAGTATTTATTAAACTACAACCCGATATGAACATCCTAACTTTTTTAATTATCTACTAGATATCTGCCAACTACTATCTTTTCGAACACAAGAACCTCCCTAGGATTTCATCAAAACCAAGCAGCATTCCCAAAGACTTGTTGAAAGATCCATTGGTAAGTTTTGCCAGTTTTTAACAGGTCTGTCATGAAGGGCTGTAACTTGTAACATGTGTTGTAGCTGAGCACACTTGATGCTACTGGCGATCAAAGTGGAAACCTAAAGGTCACACTATAAATTTTTGTGACATGTACTCTTCATTCTTTTCTTCCAGGCCATCGACTGCGATTTCTTGGTCACTTGAGTACCTATCACTTTCCTTTTGTTCTGTTTCACTCAAAGAGTCTTTATTTTTCCTTTTCTTGCACGTATTCACTCCCTCTTCATTGCATGTATGATTCTCTGAATTTTCTGGGAATTGAGGGTAGTCGTCATTTTTTTCTTTCATGCGACTGTCTGCAATTTTTACGTCAATTGAGTCCTTAACACTTTCCTTTCGCTTTACATGTATAAAATCATCAGCTGTTACTGTCAAAACTTAATGAACATAAAACATTATTTGCTCTTGGAGTAACTGACTAAATAGCATAAATTTAAAGTGCATAAGTTTAAAGTGCTTACACTATTGTATTAGTTATGAGACTGATGTCCCACAGGAAAAAATAACATAATCCCATTTTTGGATATTTTTGGGTATGTAAAGAATATCCATAAAAATCCCAAATTTGGCAAAGTGAGACAAGTCCCAACCAGGGAATTCCCAACCAAGTTCCCTAGTTGGGACTTGTCTCACTCTTCCAAATTTGGGATTTTTGTGGGTATTCTTTAAATACCCTAAAATATCCCAAAATGGGAATCTGTTATTTTTTCCTGTGATCCACTATCATTATAAACAATATTATTACCAACAATTAATAGGCTAGGATTTCGCTTGTTTTGCACATAATTCTTATAATGTAACTTGAAGTTTTTACCCAATAGCACACACTAATTACTTTGAGGTCACATGACATAACAATGAAACATTGCAAAATCAACATTTATGATGTCAGAGTGCAATAGTGTATTGTTGCCATGAATACGATGACCGAAGACTACTGTTACAGCGAGGTTTAATGAATTTTCAGCTTCAAAATTTCCAGCTATATAACAAATCACTTAAAAACTGGTTCCTTGGGAAAAAGTTAATTTTGTTTGCCTTGAATGTCAATTACAAAATTAACTGTTTCCCTCTGGACCAGTCACTAGTGTTAATATTACAGTGTAATGAGTAAGGTTTGCATATGAGAATAAACTTGTTGAAGGCCACATCCTGACTGGTTGTTATGCTTCCCGACTAGCTCGCTTGTAGGTAGTGTTTCTCAGGTGGCCACGATACTAGGTAGTATAGCACATTGCATTATCAAGTGGCAGATTTTAGACCAAACTAATGCCCAAAGGGCTCGAAAAAAATTTTTGGGGACCACCCCCATCCCTTATCTCAGGGGTCTGGATGACCGGGACCCCCCTCATCTGCAGGTCTGGATCTGCCACTGTTATCACGCTGCCATTTAAATTAATATTTTTTCTACTTTCATCACTTTATCACTTGTTAGTAATATTTGACATCTGGTGGTACCACTGCATGATTATTTTGTTTAACCATATTATTGATCACAGGTGAAATGGTTTGCCCAACAAGTTAGACAGAATAATGATCTCTATGATAAGCACTTCACTGCTGTGTCCTTTAATGACCCCAGGTGGAATGACCAGGAGTGGTATTTGGTAAGTAAAAAACTAAATTCTAGGCCTTTTAAGATACTCTTAAGAATTACTTTACCAAAAATAGGAGTCAGCTTTCTTTCAAGCTATATTTAGTGATTTGAATTCCTATAGATGTCTGATCTGGGTTAGCTACGTGTAGCAATGCAACTATTTTTAAGGGACGGCCAGATGCCTTTTGTAAAACCTCTGGGTGTCCATCTTAAAGCGGCGTCTGCCTTATGATGAGTAAAAGAGAAATGGCTGAAGAATGGTAGAGGCCAGCTCTAGATGTCTGTTTTAGAGAGGTGTCCATCTTATAGTAAGGCAGGGACCATCTAAAGATGACCTTATGAGGTGTCTGTCATTTAGAGAAATGTGACTGTAACACGTCAACTAGGTTAAAGGAGGCTGATCAAGTGCTAATTTCAGGGGGCAAACTTCAGTACTTCTCTTTTGTCTGTCAGTGATATTGTTGTTGGTGTAAATTTACAGGGCCTTCCTGATAAAGGAATGAATATTTACCAAGTGTGGCAGCAAGGCATCACAGGCAAAGGAGTTGTGGTGGCAGTTGTTGATGAGGGGCTCCAACAGTCGCATCCTGAGCTCGCTGATAATTATGTAGGTATAGTTAATCGGCCCAGAAATGATGTTGTTTGTGTAAAGCTTAAAGTACAATGGAAACTGGTAAAATCAGTAGAATTGGCATTAGTTATACCTGCAACACAGCTGTCAGTTTAGGTTATGTTCACACGATACCGAATAGGTCTTGTGCCGGCCCCAGGGGGGGGTACTCGGGATTTCAAGTGACGGGGATGATCAAAGGATTTATTTTGGGTTTGAAATTTTCGATTCCGAAATTTTTTTGGGTACGAACATTTGGCAAGTATTTTTTTGGGTAGCTTGATTTGAGTAGGGATTTTTTGGGGGATTAAAAAGAATCGGTAGTGCCCTGGCTGCGTAGTTCTGCGAATAAAGTACAAACAAACGTGTTTTGCTGTTGTTTAATAGTTAACTATGCAGGGCTTCTGATATTTCGCGGAAAAAAAAGCAAAATTTCGCGGGATTTTCAGGGGCAAATTCGCGGAAAAATCGGCCGATTTCGCGGGATTTTCGCGGGAAAAAAAATCAAAATTCGCGGAACAATCGGCCGATTTCAGGCGATTTTCGCGGGAGAAAAGTCAAAATTCGCAGGAAAATCGGCCCATTTCGAGGGATTTTAGCGGAAAAGAGTCAATTTTCGAAGGATTTTCAGGGGCAAATAATTTCCTAAGAATTTCTTAGGAAAATCGGCCGATTTCACGAGAAATTTCGGGGAAACTTCGCCAAGAAACAATCAGTAAAAAATCGCCGATTTCGCGGGTTTTTTTTTGGCAAATTTTGCTAAAATCGATCAATTTTGCGTCGATATGACCAGCGTTGGTGAACATTTTTTTTAACACGGATAATCATTTACTCTTTCAACAACAGTTCGCTCGAGGAATAAGCGCATGTTAAAGCCATCAACATTATGGTTAGTGCCCAGTTTTTCGCAACGTTCATCTAAAAACGCCTGGTAGTTTTGGGACGTTGTTTACTCGTTGCAGTGATGAAGTTTCAAGCTAAATTTGGACGTTTGGGGTGAATAAAACCGGTCTAATAGCCAAGATAAGTATTAAATATGTTTTGCCGACATGTATTTGGAAATATTTCTGGCGGATTTCGCGGTATTTCGCGTTTTTTGGGGAATTTCGCGGGATTTCGCGGGTCCGCGACCGCGCGAAATATCAGAAGCCCTGACTATGGTGTCGCTTTACATGTGGAACTTTTAAGGGCCGCAAAATCGGCATGGGATTTTTTGGGGGTTAATTTTTGGTACAGGGATTTTGTTGGGTTTTGCTGGAAGCCCTAGGGATTTTTTTGGGTCTTGACTTTTGGCTCCATTCGATCATCCCCGTCACTTGAAATCCCGAGTACCCCCTCTGGGGTGCCGGCACGGAAAGCATATTGGATCGGGCTTCTCTTCACCTATAAGAACAGTGATTTCAACACGATTTCTGGCTGCCTCACGCCAATCTCGTAAGTGGAGAGTCACATATCAGATAGGTTCTATTCCACACTTCGGTGCAGTGTAAACAGGTATTTAGACTGTAGTGGAAGTAAATATATTGAGTCCGGTGAGGACTGGGATTTAGTGCACCAAACTCTCCCTGCCAACTACCCCGGCACAATGATTGATGTCTATGAACAACTTACAACAACAACGACAGCAAAAGTAAGAACAACATCTTTGTTCACACTATTTAGGCATCAAACACAGAAAGAGTGAAGGTGTAGAAAAGTTTAAACAGTATATAGAACAATTATTTGAAGGAAGATCACCGCAGTTATTATACACAACTAATATGCAGTTGCGAAAAGAAAGCATGAAAAAAAATTCAGGCGTGTATGGGATTCCAACCCTTGACCTCTACGATACCGGTGCAGCGCTCTACCAATTAAGTTAAAAGGCCAACTGGGAGCAGGTAGTTGAATTGGTTCGTTATAAACCCGTGAAAGGATGATGATGAAATTATGAATATATGAAAATCATATATGTGAACTGCAGAGTGAAGAATTATTTGAAGGAAGATCATCACAGTTATATACACAACTTAATTATGACTATGAAATTATGAATATACCAATTAAGCAAACAAGCTAACTGCGAGCAGGTCGTTGAATTCAGGAGTTCGAGTCCAATACACGCCTGAATTTTTTTTTCATGCTTCCTTTTCGCAACTGCATAAGTTGCGTATATAACTGCGATGATCTTCCTTTGAACAAATAATTCTTCACTCCGCAGATTACATATAGGATTTTCATATATTCATAATTTCAGCATAGAACAAATTAAACATAGTTTATTTAACTGTTTAGTTAGGTGAAATAAACAAGTGTGGTACAGCTTAAGTAGCAGGGCTTTTAATTTGGCTACTGCTTTGTCAAAGTTAACAAAAATTAACCCTTCGATCTTCCTGGATAAGTCTAGATCGAAGGGCCTCTGCTCGCAGGGTAGAAAAAATCAAACAGTTACACTGAATTAACTGATCATGCATCTCTTCGATATCTCATTGGTATATTATTTAATAAATAGCAAAACAATAAGAATAGATTTGAAGATCTGATGCAGTACGCAAAAATTAAGTTAATGTTATTGACCCCTATCCCTCCCCCAACTATTATCATACAAGAGTATAACATTGGTTTCATTTTTATTTATAATCAGGATCCTTTAGCAAGTTTGGATTTGATTGATTTTGATGCCACACCCAATCCAGTGGGAAACAATTCAGGGTAAGAACTGGAACTATGACAAGTAAAAGGTTTGTCATATTTGTTTCACAAAAATAACTTGCGATATAAGAATTAAGATAAGAAAGGAGAAGCCCAATGGAAGTGCAAAAGTACAATTCATCAGACAATAAGTTAAGTTCACACCTTTGTCACCCATAACCAGCTGTTGACTGGGTACCTTTGATGGTCAACTTGTACAGAAGGAAGTGATTTTCCAAACCACAATGATTTGTTCAAACAGGCCAGAGATACACCCAAAAATTGCGTAACGTATTGGTGGGAAAAAGAATAGTAATAGTAATAACTTTAGTCTCAATTTTCTAGCTTCGCACATTGTGCTGAAACTAATCGGGGAGACATTAAAAGTGTTTGAAAATAATACACCACTGTTCATCTGTACTTTCTTTAAAGAAAAATGAGGAGAAGAAGTGAAACATAAGGAAGGAAAAGAAAGTAAAATACTCAGAGTTACAAAGCTGCAAATTCACACCAGCGGCCCGTTTTTCATTAGTTCCGGTAACTTTTCGGGGCCGATATTAAAATAGTCAATCTAAAGAATAAAAGCGCAGTTCGTAGTTCCAAAACAGTCAATATGTTTTGTCAACTGGTATTTTAATCAAATTGTCTGCAAAACAACTGCAAATTAGTTCGCCGGGGTCTAATTAGCAGGAAGTTGGGGAAACAGGTTCTAGGATCGAAATGAAACCAGTGCTGATCTTGTTTTCCTTTTTCTAAGCATGATTTCATTCATCAGCAAAATCAAACTTTATGTGTGAAAAAACTGCTTTGGGAAACTCCTATACAGTACATTATGACAGTGAGAATTGTGAAAATTTTCATTGCATTTAATAGCCTGAGTTTCGGCTTTCTTCTCGAGTTGCACACTCCCAGGAGAGATTGTGCTACCCAAGAGGCAGCTGAAATTCCGGCTACTCATTAAACCCAATTCATCTCTCAATACATACCAACCAGAGAGTTAAGTACTCAAAATGGCCGCCCAAATTCACTTGTTTGTACGATTACCAATAACGTGTTATACCAATTTTTCTACTACAGGCATGGTAACCGATGTGGTGGAATCATCGCTGCCGCTGCTAATAACAGTAAATGTGGCGTCGGAGTCGCCTTTAATGCAAAACTTGGAGGTAACTTATAGACCCATCGAATTAAAGACCTTATGGGTTTTCTCTAGTAATAAGGGTGAACGTTACGTACTTAGCAAGCCGAAACTTCAACATCTCCCTACTGCATCCTTGTGCGACGCAGGCAATCCCCTGGCCACTGAAACCTTTTAGAGTTGTTCACATTTTCCAGTTTACTTAACGTTTTACGCGGGAGGTAAACAAGCAATGGCGAAATTTTCTTTCTCTTTCTGAACACGGTTATGGTTCTTAGGAATTCAAATCCAGGAGAGTTCGTCTACATTTGACAAAATAAATAAGTTTGAATAATCGCGATGAAGCTTGAAAAAAACGTACATTCACTTTTAAAGCGTCTCCGTCGCCGTTCTCGTATCTGAAGGTCCTTAATAGACGATTAAATACCTAGTCTACCTGTGGGACTTACACGGCACAAAAAATACCTGCGTCTCGTTTAACAATACTGTATTCACAGGGAAAACAGTTTGCACCTTCAAATGCAATCTTCAATCTGTTCTAGCATCCCATTCTCTGCTGTGATTTTAATCATGGTGTTTTATTAGCATGGAAAAGTGGTAATTTTGTCGACTCTTCAAATGGTCTTAAATTCCGCACCCTGACCCAGTAACAACCACTATTGTTTAATTCCCATCTCCTCGGGCTTATCAATAAGGCTTCGTTCACAAGGTACCGGTCAAATTTTCGACCGGTTGAAAATTCGTGTGTTTAGGTGTTCCGTTCACATAGAACCAGCTTTAGACGCCTAGCCGTTCAAAGTTCCGTGTGAACAGAGGGAAAATATTGAACGATCCCGTGTAAACAATGTGTCCGGTGAAATTTTTCGACTGGACAACTGTCAATTTGACTAAGAATAAACGACTGTTTAACTGTGACAGTAGACAGATCGAAACGCACCAATGACATTACGAGTCTTCATAGCCAATAACATCACGGCTTAACTGACAGACGACCAATAACATCGCGACTTAATTGACCAATCAGATCAATAACTGGAGTTTAATAGCATCAACTGACGGGATCCAACTCACTTTGACTCTGAAGATGACTACTTCACAGGTTGTCGAGACGTCAGTTACAGTCAACAACAACAGTCCTATTCAGGACTACGTTCACCCGGACGATCATACTCAACCTACCTATCAAAATTTTCAGCTGGTCGAAAATTTGTCTGGTGCCATGTGAACGTAACCTGGGCCAAGTGCCGCGGGGTTTGTCCGAACGGCATTTTTATGTCGTTATTTAATCGAAACATTTAGCAAAGCCCGGTTACTTGCTTTTAGGTATTCGTTTATTTGAAGATGAAGACTTCGATCCCACAGATGCGATGGTGGCGTTAGCCCTACAACACAACCGACAGCATATCGATATCTATTCATGTAGCTGGGGACCTGAAGACACTGGCTGGTCTATGGAGGGACCAGAAAAACTCACTAGGGATCAGCTAGAGGAGGGTACAAAAATAGTAAGTCTATCACGTAAGGCTAACATCACACGCAAGGGATCATTTTATGGAGCTTAATGGTCGACATAACCTATTGCTTAGTACTTTTTCTACTACATTTTTGTTGGAATATCTTCTACAAAGGCGCGACCATTATGTTGTCTAGCAATAAATAAAAATGTAGGTGCGTATTGCGTCTCGGTTGGTCCAAAAATATGTCCGCAATGCAGAGTGCGAATAGCAGCTGAATCTCCATATAAACGACCCGGAAAGCTACTCATGGACAACTTGTCTCTTTAAAAATGCTTTGGCAAATTACCTTGAAGTACCAGAGTGGACAATCCTTAGCTTTTAATTATGTTTTCTTTTGCTTCTTTTCCCCCTTTTTTATCATACAGGAGTGAACAGGCTATCGCATAACCCCTCACCTTCCTTTTGCCCGTGAAAGGGTATCACTCGATTTTGTCCTGATCGACCGGAAATCACGGTAGCTTTTGCTACATGCACTCTTTCGAGTGCCTATTTTTCTCAACTTGCTGAAGAGTTGAGAAAAGAGTTGTTGAAGAGTTTTAGTAGTGTCTTTTTTCTTTTAGTTTTGTGCAACCATTTTGCTGTATTTCTCTTTACAGGGGCGACAGGGCAAAGGCTCCATCTTTGTATTTGCAGCAGGAAATGGTGGAAGAGCCTACGATAATTGCGCGTACAATGGTTATGTTAACAGCATCTTTACAATTGCGATTTCTGGAGTCAACAGAAATGGGAGTATTCCAGGATATGCTGAGAGATGTTCAGCGATTATGGCTTCAACTTACAGCCAAGATGATCTAAAACAAAAACAGAACATTGTAGGTTATTTCCTATGGTGATTTGCTAGGACACAAAAGGTTGTAGACCCACCCTGTCCTTTGCTTTCTTTTCATTGTTGCAAGAACTAAAAGCAAACTGGTCTTAGTCATGTCTCAGAAATAATTGTGTTTACTTTTGTTCTTGCAATTGACACTGGTGCTTTAGTGATGATTTTCACTTTTCAACCACTCACATGTAACGCGGAGACCAACACTAGACGTGAAATATCCATGCGCGTTTTCCCGCGCTAGGAACTGATTACCCATATTTCTGTTTTGATTTCAACGAATATTGGTTTCCATTCACAAGGTCACCGGCGTCCATCTGTTCACCCTGTAAAAGAACTGGAAAAATAAGTAGCGCTTCTTTACTTGGAAACAAAGAAGTGACTGAAAGCGCCTCGTTGTTCAAATGTGCATGTCTCATTGGTGCGTTTGCTCATGAATAGGGTGTCACCAAGACGGTTGGCATTCTCTAGGGACCTGGCCTTACTAAAAGTTACTATCACTGTAACACTACCTAACTGAACTAATGATTTTGCCGAAGGGTGGGTAGTAGTTAGTGACGTGGAATTAAACTTATTGATAACGTAAACCTGACAAAACTCATTGATAACGGTTTGATCACACTAACTTAGTTCCCAGTGTCCTTTCTCTTCCAAAATAAGAGAGGACGTGGGAAGGACGTCGTGCTCCCACCTGTACAACTGTTCAATAAATTAGTCTCTGCCTTTTTGGTTATAGTTGATTTCGTGTATTGGAAGGAGGTTGTCGTCATAAATTAATTCAAAGGGGACAGACAGCAAATTGTTGTCGCTCGAAATATCTCTATGTCGTAAATGTTTAACGGTAGGATAACTAAATTGTGTGCAATTCCAAAACTGGTTTCGGCTCCATTATATCCTATACCATTTGTAGAACATTTTGTGGGTACAGTTACTGACAAGGTGTATGAGGAGGAAAGAAAATGTAATGCGTTAAAGCATAGTTAGCCTGAGTAGAGGAGACTGGCTATGAAAGCCAGCAAACATCAAAGTTGAAAACAACGGTACTTAAGTTTATGTTGGAAGCTCCCTGACCGTGCATAATCCTTTGTTTTTTGTTCACAAATCGTGATTGAATAAATTAATGCGATGTTTGTATTTGTCAGTAAGTTCAAAATGATAGGAATGTTATTGAACGTTGGGCAGGGTCAGGTCCAAAAAAGCTAACAAAACTATCTAACAAAGGAGTCTAACGAGTCTCATAACCATTTCACTTTAGTAACTATGGTTAAATAACAAACTAAATACGCACGTCAATTAAATAAGTAACCAAAGAAAGCACATTCAAACCTACATCAACTGAAAGAATACTAAAATAATCTAAATTAACAAAGGATATCGCGGCACCACTCAACCACTGAATGCAAAACCTCAACTTCCGCAGTGTAGTGTTATACTTCTCGACGATAACTTCATGACGCTTTAAGAATTTATTGAAGGTTCTGAGCAGCAGTGCGGTCTTCCTTTACACGAAAGCTTGGGGAAATCCTTTGATACTCTTCACTGACACCTATTAGAAACGAGTCTGTGAAAGATGACTCATTTGAAACAGTTGAAACTCCTCGAATCAAAAGTAAACTTTTGATGTAAACTTTGTAAACTGTTTGTAAACTTTGCTAGATTACGTCAGACTTGAATGGTACCTGTACTGTCACTTTCTCAGCAACTTCTGTGTCGGCGTCGATGGCATCCGGGATCATAGCGCTAGCACTGGAAGCCAAGTAAGTAGGCGATTTTGTTTCAAAATTTGATAAATTATGCTTTGATAAAGGCGTTACTTTCTGACTAAAGTTGACCATCAAATTGGTCGTTTGTTGGTTTTGTAGATGATGCAATCACCCAAAGACTTTGGTCCTGTTTTCATGGAAGTGGGGGACCCCTAGCAGGTGAGGTAACCCTCTTAGGTGGGGTAACCTGCCTGTCGGTATGATCTCTCATTTTAATTTGATCACGTTTATATGATAGGCGGGGTGACCATATGAGGGATTATATGGACAGGCGGGTTACCCCACCGAAGTAGGCTACCTTTCCTACCTAGGGTTCCCCACCTTTATGTAAACAGGCCCTAAGTAAAAAACGATACTGTTGTTGAGTCACTTAAGTTAAACCTAGACATCATTAATTAATCTCACCACAATTTGTGCTGTATCAATATATGATAAAATGAATATGACAGTCATATTCATTTTCCGCCTCATCATTGCCTGCGTCTAGCGTCGCCGTTTTCAGATCATTACACGATATTTGATCTCCTTGGTACTAGAAAAACTGGCCATATAATGACGAGATATTTGTTCATAGTCCCAGGCTAACATGGCGTGATGTACAGCACTTGATTGCTTATTCTTCCAATTCAAGTGTGCCTCGTTCTGATGATTGGATACAAAATGCGGCAGGGCTATGGGGTAAGTAGCTCCTTCTGGCACGCGATACAGTCCTCTATGACTGGTGTAGTTATGATTAAATTTCGACCCTACTCGCCATAGAGCCCCCTGTAGCTCAGTGGTTAGAGCGCTCGGACGAGAACTCCGAGGGTCGTGAGTTCTATTCTCACCTGGACCTCGGAATTTTTTCGGAGCTCTCTGGGTTAATAATTCTCCTTCTTCCAAATTCTTAATTGTCGAATTTAACAGTCTGCTTTATAATAAACGTTGAACCTTGGACATAATAAGAAGAAAGGTATGACTCCTTAGCCTTTCAGAGACGGTTATGAGTTGTTTTCTTGCGATTTCTGAAAGGGTGTTTTCTTTGTCAATTTTTCGCATGCAAGTTCTAGGTTCGAGTTGAATTAATAGTTATAACTGTAGAGATGAGCCTTTTGGATGCAAACAAATTCTTCCAGCCAACGGCTAGATTAAAAATCATTGACATGGTTTGATTTTTAGTCAGCAGTTATTTTGGATTTGGTCTTATGGATGCTGCAGCATTGGTGAATTATTCAAGATCATGGCGTACAGTGCCAAAACAGATCAAATGCCAAATAACGGAGCCAAATGTGCACAGGTAACGAGTTCGGTTTCCTTTTATTTCCTTTCACGTACTTTTGAAATTTTACGGGCGGAAATCTGTCATAGTTAAAAGTAATATAGGATAGATGGAAACGCAATACACAGAGAAGTGTGTTGAAAAAACATGGTTTAGTAAGGAAAGGCATAATTTGAAAGTGATTTACATTCCTTTGAACTAAAGGCCTGTTTATAGATAACCCCCGCTGAATTGGTTTTCAATACCTCGCCATAAATGTTTACTTAGGCAGTTTTTAAAACTTCACTGCGTTCATGCGAGAAAGTGGGCCTGCCATGTGTCAACTGGGTCATCCCTGTTGATGCGGACTAAGTTCCTGTAGCTTGTTGTTGGCGCTCACCTTACTCCCCAAACTAACATCTTGTCCAACAATTTCTTCTATTGTCATGTAGAGCTTTCAGGCAATATATCGAAGTGGATCTTACAGTATCTAATAGAACTTGCAACCAGGACGGCAAGATCAACTACTTGGAACACGTTGTTGTGATTCTTCACGCCAGATTTGATAGGCGTGGTTACCTAGAAGGCTTTTTAACCTCGCCTAGTGGTACAACTTCCCAAATTCTTCCTTATCGTGCTAATGACGTCATGGCAAGTGATTTCAGTGAATGGCCGATACTCAGTATGCATTTCTGGGGCGAAGATCCTCAAGGAGATTGGCGATTGCGGCTTCAGAGCCGTTATCCTAACTACAAATTTTCAGGTGAGAACGGACCTGCAAATGTAGAGGGGTGTTTTCGAATTATTTTTTTGCATTTATATTTTTCAAATTCCATCAACAAACAAGGCAAAAAACAAAAGCTCATGCATGTGAGTTTAAACTCTTAAACAACAGGCGAGATTCATTGAAGTCTGTCGTTGGTAAAAGCTCCATATGATCGAAATGAGGTCTTTTTTGAGAGCTCACGAGAGACGACGAGAGCCCACGAGAAGCGCAAACTCAAAGAATTAGACGAGGGAGGGTTTGCTTGTGGTGATCTGCACAATCTTCAAACTTTCAAGCTTGTTTCAGATGTTGCGAGAACAATAACTCGGATCACTCCAAGGGTAACTTTGGAGTAAAAAGAACAACAATGCTCTGAAAAGCACAACAATGTTCTAACCAGTAATGGGGGATAAAAATGGAGGAAACACGTCTATTTTTTTCTGGCAAGAAGTTAAACCGTAAACGAGATGCCACCTGTTCAGTCTAAAGATGATGAGCGCATTATACCCTCTCTCGTGACTGTGTGGTGCTGTTTGCTTCATGTAACTGGCAACTACGGAAGGTCTGACCTGATTAAACCGTCTGTAACTTCTGATCCTTGCTGGGTGATTGAGCTATAAGCGAGCCCAGCATGAAGGGTGAATCCTCACCGTTGTGCGCGTACTTCAAATGTAATTTTTTTATAGCCTGTGAAAACAGCCGACATTTGGCGACGCCACCACTGGTTTCTCCGCGAAATGACGTCTGACAAACCAGAGTGGAGTTCCACACTGATGACGTGTCACTTTCCAGGTCAGGGTAGGGCTTCAGATTAGTTAATTTAAATTTCTCTTGCTGCACTGGGTATTGACACGTTATCAGTATGAAATTTCCAGGCTCCTTCCTCAGGCGTTATTTTGCGTGAAGACCAATGGCAGCGTCGCGAAATATCTGTTGTTTTCTCAGGCTAATTTTTTTGTAAATCTTCAGTCGAATTATAAGTACTTTTACTATAATGAAGATTTTTAGAGATAATTTTATTCTTATATTAGGGTATTTGGTGAAATGGAGTATTATCCTTTATGGCACGGTATCAAATCCATTAGAAAATAACCGTCATGTACCAATACAGTTTTCAAACAGGACCTCTCTGAGTAAGTATCTGGTTCAGTTATCCTTCAGCTTGTTGTCACCTGATTATTTGCAGTATTATCTTTAAATTGTCTTTAGAATTGCCATTCGCATTAACATGAGTCTGGTTTACCAATTTAGTATACTGGGCAAGTGTCTACATTTCTTTCGTAAAATGGTGGATACCATTTTTAAGACCCTCAGTTGGAAAATGTTTGATTGTTATGTTCACACTTGCACCAAACAATCTCAATCTGGTCCCAGTTGTTCGAAGGTGGATAGCACTATCTGCCGGATAAATCTCTATCCACTGGGTAGAGCAATTCGTTTCCCTATTACTTATCCACTGGATAGCGCTATCCAGCTTTTGAACAACTGGGGCCTGATCACGAGTGTAACCTGTTTTACTAAATTTTGACTTTATAATGATCAATCCTTGGCGCGAAACATGAACGGAACGCGATTACTCCGACTGTGATAGAAAAACAATTCTGCTGAAGACGGTTTTGACCTCGGTTTCGTGAGAAATTTATCGGCAACAGATGGTGAAAGACACAGTCACTAATCCTCTACCCGGATTTCTACTCGGCTTCGTCGGTAATGTATCTAGGTACGAGATTACACAATCACTATACACATTTCTGGTAAAAACTGGAGGTATAACGAGACAAAGGCTGACCATTGTAAGTTCAGAAGAAGTTATCAGCCCCGCACAAAGAGCAGAAGAATTAGAAGGAAATTATCTGAAAAGAATCCATAAACTTGAACATAAATACTAAAACGGCTAAACAGGAAAACAACTCTTTACGTCGCACAAAAACAGGATGTCTGTTTTAGAGGAGCTACATGTAGGCTCAGAACTGAATTTGTTGAAGACCTCGTCCACGAGTGGCTGTATTTTTAAAAAAAAAAGCAAAATATTTGAAGTAACAAGCTTGGACATTTTACCTGAAAGAACGAAATCAGATGCCGTGACGTCATCGTTTTTGAAAATTTCCGTTTTCCTTTTACACGGCTACCGAAAACCAGCGTTTTAAAAAACATGTACTTTTCAGTGACCGTTACCTTTTTATCACATTCGTGTGGGCGAAAAGTCCATCCGCAAAAAATTTTGCGTTTTCAAGAAAAGTAATACGTGTCAGCGAAGTTGGTTGGAAATTGCTATATTTGTTTAAAGGGTTAAGCTATTAGAATAAAATTAACAAGTTTGGGGTCTAGTGTAAACACGGTATAATAAGTCGCCCATGAAAATATATTAAAGGTTTTGGTATTTGCAGGTGTACTTTTAGTGTTTCAAAAACTTCCTTACTTGTAAAGATTGCCATTTCTTGATTATGAATGTCATAGAGTCGAATATAATACAATCAAACATGAACAATAATACTTATTTTAGCATATGAATACGTCACAGAGTTAATACATTTCAGTAAAACACAAATCAAAGCCAGAAAGGTACACTGACTGCAATGGTATGTTGTACAACCCGAAAATGTGCTCTTGACTTGTTGTTTACGCCATATTGTTGGATAAATAGTTGTGTAGTTAGCAATAAGAAAGGATTCTGCTGTATTCAATTCGGCAAATTTCAACTGATCCAACGGCTAAATTTTATATCTTCCTTTCCTTTTTCAGATGTCACAACTGAAGCCGCAACTGATGATATTACTGAGATGCCTCATAAACCGGCTGGTATCACCCGCAACAAAGGTGAACACCTTATGTTGACTTTTATTTGAAGGGACAATGTCAGTTAGTGACTGTTGGTTCCCTTACGAGCAGGGCGGGAGATTGGGCTATTAGAACAAGAACGTGACGAGGGGGGTGGTGCTCTCTCTTTCGCCTTGCTCGATGCTTGCTTCGTTGGCTATCTTGTCCCGTTGCCAAGGGAAACTGTCCTTTTAATCTAGCCTTGACGTATTTTAATTATGCTCAATTTAAAGCTGAAAACGTAATTCGAGCACATGCGTTAGAGATGAGAAGCATAAAGGAGCAGGAAAATTTAAATAGTTTGTCAGAAAACAGTCGGTACCTTACGCAACGACATCGTCAAATCATGCGATGTTTTCGGTAGGACATCGGAAAACTACGAATTTTCTTTTGTTCTCTTTGGACTTGAATGCGATTCGCAAAAAAATTGCCTCACTTTATCAATTTGAGTAAGATGGAATAATTGCAATGAAGTTTGAAAGAAAAGAAAATGTTGCGCACTGGTAAGGGCATTTACCTCCTACCAATTTAACCTGGGTTTGAATCCTGGAAGTGGCGCCATATCTGAGTTGGAGAGGTTTTTTTTTCTATTCTTTAATTTTTTTACCAGGGTCGACCGGGTACTCCGGGCCCCCCTCCCCCCGCCCCTCCTTAAAATGCTTTCAAATTATAGTTCGATCCCGATTGGGAGAGGAAGAATCACATTCAATTGTGGATGTACTACAGCTCTACCATTAAATCATTATATTTATTTGTTTTATCCCTCGCTTTTGGGCCCGAAAAACACGTGACTGTGGGCCACCTTTAATTATTGCAAAATTTTATGCAACTGTCTTGCCTAGTTAGAATCCGACGCTTTCTCTTTCTGGGAAGATGGATCTGGTTGGGAGAACTTAATAGTTGTTCCTGTTTCCTAGATGCCGGATGTTTACATTTTGATTGCAAAAGTGTAGTCACAATAAAATATGTCTTTGAGATTTATTTGACTGTACATTTCTAGGCATGACGGGAACTGCTATCGCCCTCATAGCAAGTGCAGTTTTCTTCGCCTTAGCTGTTGTTTGTGCAGTTATTCTTGTGAAGTCTGGTGTTGTTCCTTGCTGTCGAAGAACTACATCTACTAAACTTACAGAGGACACAACTTTGTCAGAGCAAAGTGCTCCTTTGAAAGGTGTTGATTCTTGGGGGAAAGAATCAAGTTTATAGCAGCAACTACAGGACTAGTGGAATTTGTTTTCTACGATTTGTTTACGTACAGAAGCAAAGAATTTTACAAGTACACATAATATATATTTTCAAGGATGTCCAGGTCACTCTTTACCGGGACAAATAAAAACCATCTCGAAAGAAGCTTTCTTCACATGCTAAAGTAAGAGAGGCTGGAATACTTAGCCGGTCTTCTTCTGTCCTATTCTGACAGTGTACTATTCAAGCTCATTCAAAACAAATCTGAGTAACCAATCTGATAAACATTAGAGAGCTTTAGATTTGAGGAAGAGGAAGAGTACAAGATTTAACGTAACGTTTTTGCTCGTCTTCTCAGAAAAAAGACACCGCAAGAAAGCTTCATTTTACCTTTTTTCACCAAAAAAGTTAGTACGGTTATTTATACTGAAGGAGCTTAAGCCATCTCTCGATCAACAAAAGAAGTTTTATCATAAAACTTCGTACATTTGATAACTTGCATTTTGTTCCCACCATTACGACATTCTCGCTAAAACTCGTAGGAGAATGACGACGGCTATCACTTTTTCCCGCCAAAATAACGCTGGTTCACGCGTGAGCTATGCTCAGTGTTGAGAAAATCTCGCTCTCATATAAAAAATCCGGAAATTTCGGTGGGAACAAAAATGGACTTCCTGATAGGTAAAAAGTTGTTACATTTGATCGTAAACCCCGGTACGGCACCGAGCCCGTTACCCGACAGGACACCAAGATGGCTGTCTAGTTGGTAACAATTTGAACTGGTATAAAGTACGAGAAACGTGTAAATGGAACACGAAATTCCGTTCGGAACGTTCCAACTGGGAAAACGGGCCTACCTTTTTAGACTTTCCACTTTTTCCGGGAATCGGTTTCCAGTGGAACGAACCGACGAAACGTTTTCCATTTTTTGCCGAACCGAAATTTCCGGAAATTTTAACTAAATGGAAAGCGCCCGAAGTCGTCCTCGCCTCAGAATCTATAGCTCTCTATTGTCTTTTCGGCTACGTCCAGTTTTTGAAAACGCGTACTTTTTACACGAATCGTCTTTCTTCCTCCTCGTGTGAATCCGCACACCAAAGCCACATTGTTTTGAAACCGCTCTCCAGAGCTGTTTAAGGCCGTGCCTACGCGAATGCGGATAAAAAATATGCGGTTTCAAAAATGTCTAAAATCCTGTGGACACGGCCTTAATCTGTTCTCTTCACTCAGGGTCCTGATGAACTATAACGAAGAGAACAGCAAAGAAAGAAAACGACTTCCCATATTTGGGAAGGTCAAGCCGTTGATCGACGATCTAATTCTATGAATTTTCAGTTAATTTTATCCTCTTTGATGTTGTTTTTTTTCGGGAAGACATATGAAGATTATCGTGAGGATTTTAAAGTATTCTAACAATTATAGACAATGATAGAATAAGTAAACGAATGGTCATGAAACAAGTCAATAAACATACATAGAACCGACTGAAGCATTTAATTGCTGAACTGACATTTGGAAGGAAGTTCGAGAGCACCCTGCTTATGTCTCGAAGAGCATTAAAGCTGTTGAAAAAGAACTGGGTGCCTTCGTTTTGCATGATCTAAGCTGAAATCAGCATGCTAATCTTACCCATTTCGAAGCTCTAAGGGTGCTTACTTTGTATTATCGTGCGTGAAAAGATTTAAAGGCTTGACTGATATTGGAATTGACAAATCACTTTACATAGTTAGTGTTCTAGAAGCAAATAGGCTAGTGTTATTTGATCCATATATCTATATATTTATTTATTAATTTATTTAGTGTAATATACTAGTGAGCTGTTTACAATTAGCACTGATAATTATTCATTCGAAATGAAAATATTTTACCGTTTGTGATTGGCTTAATTCCCCCAGCTAATTCTTCATCACCAGCTAGCGTTGACCAAATTTGGAAGAGGTTGGCGATATCCGATAAATTGACATCGATGGTGGAGGATAACAACAGAAAAACGCATGGTAACCGAGAAGCCTTGTGAAAGAGGTGCGTAAGCTCAGCTAGCCAGAGAAAATAGGGGCAAATTTCACACGTTTTACAACAAAGAAATAGTTGAACTTCTGCCCCAAAAGAGCAAGAACTGCAAAAATACGGCGCGCGGATGACAACTGCTATTTTAAGAAGATCTGCTAGACTATTAAAACATCCCTTTATATCCTGAATTTTCCGAAGAACAGGCAAATGAAAACGGGAACTTAACATCAATGGAGTCAAGCATGTCTTAGCTGGTTTGTAAACTAGGCATTATTTTGATTGAATAATAAAACAATTATTGAATTCGGCTTCCGTATGATCTAAAGAATTATGCTGTTCTCGTGGGGTGTTATCAACCATATAACTCGTGCGCTACTGGGATGAATCCCAGCAGTAACCGGGCTGAAGTGTATATATGCCAAAAAATTTCCAGCCCGCCTACCGAGATCCCGTAGAAACCGAGCCGGCACGCCCACTTGAATAAATACATCGAAATTTTAACAAAGCGAGCAGCAGTTGGCCAGCCCGACCAATCGGGCCTTAATAGCGGAGCTCTCGAGCGCGAAGCGCGCCAGCGGAGCACCATGGGTAAGAAAATTTGGTAAACTATCCATCCCATAAAATTTGGTTATGACGTAGCGTAGCGTAAATGTAATTTGGTATTTGATTAAATATATATGAAATGAATAATAAAACTTTTTTCCTTTTATCGAGAAGAAACCTGGGGAACTTAGACAATCAAATGATTTTGCTTGAGGAATCCCGAAATCCAGGGCTTTGGATTCCGGAATACAGCTCAAGGAATCCGGAATCCCACTAACCATTGCAATCCGTAATCCAGTTTTTCGAATCCGTAATCCTCGGCGTGGAATCCAGAATCTAAGACTGTCCTGAATTCCCTTACGTGGGGTGAAATGTAATATTCTTTGCATTTCAGCCGGTAAGTGGTTTTATTACAGTGCTATCTCTTCCTTGGGGTTTAGGTAAGGACTGCTGTCGGAAGTTTGCTCTCTATATACTCTCGGCTCACAGGGGCACTCAACGACTTTTTCATTAGAAGAACTTTTAGAAGCAGCAAGTATTGCCTAGAAATTTCCAAAGCTCAACAAAAGGCTCAAAACCTCTGGATAACCTCCATTCGTCTAAGATGTTCGGAGCTTTTTCTATACTAAACCTACACATTTCGGGGCTTGTGTTTTCAGCTATTATTAATTATACCAGTGTATTGCGATTAATGTCGAAAAAGGTCTCCCGCCTGAATCTTCTAATGAAATTACGCCTACTAAATGTCCTCGAACTTATACCGGCAGGATCGCTAACAGTTTCGGATGCAAGAAAAAGCCACCTTAAACTTTTGAGACGTCGACTAAAGTTCCCCTGAGACATCCGAACGGATGAATTGTTTTTAGGGCATGATGGACTGTGTGACTGCGAGATGGGGTTCGCAAGTCCAAAATGACCCTTGCTCGCCAACGAGTCCTCAGCTTCAAATTAACCGGCGAAAAAAATCATTTTAGATATTCTCGCTGAAGGCGTCCTTGATTTTTTCTCTCTGAATAAATGGGTGGGCTCGAAATCTTGCTCACATTTTCACCTCCGACGGACAAACATGGTAGTTTGTTCCTTTCTCGCTTTATGATTTGGTTCGGAACTTTAACTAACGTTAAATCAGATCCCTTTAAATGAACAAATATGTTATTACTAAAGTTGATGTACGTGTGGTTAGCTTTCAGTTCAGTTTGCATTTAGGCGTTCATGAAGAGATTTAATTTGACATGTGTGTTAGGAATAATTTAGCATGGGATTGATACTGAAGTTAGAAAAAGGGTGGTATCCTGGTCGAGCTCTTTTTCTTTCCTATTATTTTTTTCACCAAAAATTAAGATACTTTCTATTAACTGTATACCCTTGAAGTTCGTCGACTCATAAATTATTTTATGAGAAGCAATTCTATCAGGGAATACTCCAATTCTACTGGATTCGAAGAAGCTTTACTGAAACGCCTATTGTAAGTCGCACAAATCTTGTATTTTGATACTGTGACCTGATATGATATTCACTAATGTTCGTCGGTGACTTATATTTGAGGGTCACTTTGGTTTTTATAATCTCATAAAGTATCCATTCTTGTCACACTAAACTAAACAGCAACTTACTACTTAAAAATGAAAAAAGAAAAAAAATCAACCGTAATATATAAGAAAACAGAAATAGTTTATGTTGAGCCATAAATTGAAGAACTGTCTGCTATCCCTGGGGGGTGTGGGGGGGGGGGGTACTCCCTTATATGACCTACACGGGGATGTGCCGCTGGACAGGGTATGGTTTTCGTCCTCTCTGTCCTAAACAGGATATATAGTTTCGCACAAGTCTGTCCTAAACAGGGTATACATTTTCGTGCAAGTCTGTCCTAAACAGTGTGCATGATTTGTGCGAGTCTGTTCTAATTATAAACAGGGTTTTTCGTGCATGATCGATTTCGTCTTAGTGCAAACGTTTGCAGATATTTAGTACGTCATCACTCAAAGCATTTACTGCAATAAATATAAATGCTATTGTTCTTGGCACCCTTGTCTAGCTAAGATAAGTACAAGTTGACAGGTGTGCTTGATAACCTTGTACCCGTCTGAGGGAGTTGTTGTCCTATCAGGGTACTAAAGTTGAGAGTGTTATCTTAAACAGGGTATGGGTTTCAAACCCTCAGCTGCTCACCTATACCCAAATATTGGTCGAGTAGCCCCTCCCCCCCGCTCCACGGCCTGCTATCCTCTAAGCAAGCTTCGAATTAACTGAGCCATAATTACACAGTAATTGACTGTATTTGTACCCTCTTTGTAAACGTAACAATCATGTTTATATTGGAAAGTTCAGTAATAATAATTCAGATGGCCAAAACGTCCATATTTCGGCCATTCTTATTCTGAAGTATCCACCTTATTCTGAGCTATCCAAACAGATACTTTGCTATGAATAAGCTTTACAAGGCAGTCGCGGTACTGTGATTAAACAGGCATTGTTTGCTCCTTGCACTAAATTCTTACAAAAAGAACGTGAAAAACAACTAACCTCTATGTAGGCTTTGATCCATATTTTGGAGTAACCATTCTCACCTTGGCCTTTTTCAGTCTTTGTATACTTATCTCTTTGAACACAACAAGGTCGTAAAGAGTCGGTGCGATTTGCCGAAAAATAATGTCATTCAGTTCCAGTCTCCGAGCGGATACCTGATTCAAGTCACGACCATTACAAAAGCATCCTCGGAGACCCAGGGGCAGATAGTGGGGGCGAGGGAAAGTCTAAACGGGCGGAAAAATATGGCACAAAAGAAAAGTAAAGAACGGCCAGAAGAGCCCCTGGGGACAATGACTTACCAGACCAGTTCCAAACGGTCGCCGCCGTTCTGGCTTCTGATTGGTGCCAGAAAAACACAAGTTTTCTGGCACCAATCAGAAGCCAGAACGGCGGCGACCGTTTGGAACTGGTCTGGTGAGACATTGGGCGCGATCCATTCAACCAAAATTTCCGGAAATTTCGGTCCAAAACTCAATGGATCGGTTCGGTCCAACCGGAAAAGTTTCGAAAAAACAGGTCCACCTTTTGAGGTGGTCCTCTTTTCCCGGTCGGACCGGTCTGAATTTTGGTTGAATGGATCGCGCCCATTGTCCCCAGGGGCTCTTCTAGCCGTTGTTTACTTTTCTTCGTGAGATATATTTTTCCGCCTGTTTAGACTTTCCCTCGCCCCCACTATCTGCGCCTGGGTCTCCGAGGATGTTACAAAAGATGTCTCGTATTGGAAGTCTATGGACGATTTTTGCGGGTAAGTCTTCTTGTATTAGTCAATATTTTTTGTTTAAAAAGGGATAAAAAGAGGTTAGATTGATTCGAAAACTTATTTCATCTCAACTCACTTTTTTGCCGTCTTCAATTAAAGGAACAGTTGTTTAATTAGCATATTCGTGTTTATTTTGTAGTCGACACAATGGAAGTTATAAGCATGCTAAAGGAAAAGATAATCTTCACTACAATAAACCTCGATCGCGCGGGTATCACTTGGAGTATTTTTCTCTTACAGTAGAAACTAAGATGATGTTGCAAAACGTTTACGATGGGAATATTTAACATGAGGTTAAAACGATCGATTATTTTGGAAGACAGTGATAGCTAGTGATCGTCATGTTACACAAGTTATGATACATGAAAACTGAAAGATGAAGAATTCAGTGAAAACTTTCGTACAACAATAATTGTAAATGCCACACCACACATTAATCTCGATTAAAAAATTTTGCTCGCCGGCATTAGCAATCCAAGTTCGGCTTTTTGAGGGCTTCGCAAATGTTTGAGAAATTGCTGCTGTAATTGACACGCGAGCAGTTATAAGCATGCTAAAGGAAAAGATAATCTTTACTACAATAAACCTCGATCGCGCGGGTATATATTACTTGGAGTATTTTTCTTTTACAGTAGAAACTAAGATGATGTTGTAAAACGTTTACGATGGGAATACTTCAAGCCAGGTTAAAACGATCGACCATTTTGGAAGTCAGTGAAAACTTTCGTATAACGATAATTGTAAATGCCACACCACTCATTAATCTCGATTACAAAATTTTGTTCGCCGGCGTTAGCAATCCAAGTGTGACAGAGTCACTTTTATAGTTCCTTAAGAAACTTATATATCGTTTTATTATGTTTTTAGTTACCGGTTGTAGTTTTTTTTTTATTCTTTTGGCTTATTTTGCAATTCTGTAGACGTGGGTAGATCGGTTCACGCTTACTGTCTAGAAAGGTCACCATCCCTATTGTTTAGTCAAATTCCCGGTTCAGTTTCTAGGGTTAATCACGTATTTTTGTAGTTTTACTTACTTGTCTTTTAGATATGCGTAGGATTGGTATTTTCTTAGGTTTGTTTTTCCTGTGCGTAGTTTTTGCTATCGCGATTTATCGTTTTTCTTTTCAACACCTATTATTTGCAAGTTAGGCGTGACTTGGGCGCTTATTTAATCCCTTCTAATCAGGCTGTGATGTATTTTTTTAATGCTTTTGACTCGTTTCCTGTCACATAAGTATCTGTTTGCTTAGTATAAATACGAGTACTTTTGTCTAGTTTCCTCGAGTTAAGTTAGCTCGGCTATTAAGCTTTGCTATTTAGCTGTGGAGCTTAAATCCCCAGAAGGTCTCAACCTCTGGTAATTTTTGCGTAACATTTCCTTATTTCGTTGTTTCATTCTCGCGCTGTAATTAATATATTTCATTAGCTTCGTTTTGTCGTTAGTTTTGTTTGTAATTAGGTGTTCGTTTTTCTTTTGTAATAAACATTCATTTAAGCCCACTCCTTGCATCCAGATGATTCATGTCGTTGCAGTGCCACTGCTCTTTGGCCTCTGGCCGTTGGCGGCGTTGAACCGCTCGCGCCGCGCGGCTACACAAGTTCGAGTTTGTGAGGGCTTCGCAAATGTTTGAGAAATTTCCGCTGTAATTGACACCAGTCTTTGGAAACGCGAGCATTTAGTTTATTAGAGGACAGTTCTGTATGCATTTAAATATGTACAAAATCCTTGTGCTAATTTTTCATTTGCGTTACAAAAAAAGATCGAATGACCCCGAATGCCCGTTCTTCCAGTTTTACCTAAGGAAAATAACATGAGGTACAATCTTAGAAATACGTCAGTCTCTGTCCCTAGAATCTACACTGACAGGTTTAAGAACGTTTTTAGTAACAGAATAATTTTTAGATATGATATGTAAATAGTTTTTGAGTTTATATTGTAACTTAGGATATGTGATTTTATCTTAAGAAATAAAGATTATTATTAAAGCTATTTTACTGTCACGCAAGTAAAATGTAGTTGATGGAACGTGACGCCAGTTATCAGTAACCCTTTCATGGCGGTTCCTTCAATAAAGCAGTTGTGTAGTCAAGCTGCCAAGGTCAGCAAGCTCTAAGATACATTGTATTCTAGCGTAGAACTTTACGGCCTTGTTGTCTTTAGCATGCTAGTACGATCCACAGCATTGGCCAACTTTTTCAATGCACTATTCATAGCTAAGAGTTCGCACGTGCAACGCTGAGCTGTCTTGTAGTACAGCCTTTTCTACTGGCTATGCCAGCAGACGTTTGTCTAGCTATAAAAGCCTAGAACAAGTGTTCAGAGTTCACTTGGCTTCTGTTATTCAGCAGGGTTAGCGCTCAGTATACGATTCTTGTAAAATTTTTAAAATGGCTCGCCCTCGTCGTACTATTTCACACTCGAACCGTGCATCCAGCCGAGGTGAACAGGATCTCTCCGCGCTAGCAAGCGAAATGCTCAAACTCCGTCTTCAAGCCCTGAACCTCCCCATTAAGGGATCCAAAGGGCAGCTGCTAAATCGACTGAAGCGGGCCTTGCCGGGACAAGTGGCCACGTCGACCACGGCGCAACCAAAGCGAGTTTCCAACGCTAAAGCTCGTAAGGGGCGCCCTGCAACGAGAACCACCACGGCGACCGGGCGCTAGTCGGAAAGCCTTTCAGCGAACCTCGGCAACGTTAATAACGAAGACAACGCCCTGTCAGACCGCGCTTCGTTGTCTTCTATCGAGGACATGATCGAGTCGGATCCTGAGCCGGACGAGTCCAACTTCCAACGGAACACCGGTTTCAGCCAAACTCAGCGTGCAGCAATCGAGGCCATCGTGACTGATTCAGTCCGCTCCGCCATAACAACGCTTCAAACTTCGCCAACCGCTCATCTTCCTTCACCAGCCGCGCAGCTTTCTTCTGCCTCGCCTCAAAGTCTCTTCACACTGCGCATGGCTTCCCCTCTAGGGCTTTCTAGGCCAGTAGACAAGACTTTGGAGGACAAAAATACTCAGGGGTGAGTACATTGACTTTGCGTTACTTTTGGCCGATACATTATACCAGTCCCAGACTCCTGAAATTCAGCTCCGTTTGGACGACTCGTCCTCAGGCCCCATGGGTTCTCCGGTTACCATGGTCAGAAAGAAAAAACCGGTAATTGATACCTTCCTCAAGTGGCTCGACGCTTTCATGACCTACATGTTAATACTCGTGAATGCCTACCCACGACGGGCGCTCGAGCTTATCAAATACCAGCAAATTATCAGCCGAGCGGTCGCTAAATTTAAGGGTTTGGCCTGGCTATCGTACGACCAGCAGTTCCGTCGCCGGGAGGCCTATGACTTGTCCCTGAGCTGGGATAAGGTAGACCTTGAGCTATGGACAGTGACTTTCGCAGGCCTCGCTAAGCCCCGCTGCAATGTTTGCTCGAGTCCCTATCACGCTGAGGATGTCTGTCCTTCTGCTGACCTTAACAGAAAATCTCACCGCCCTCAGTCTGTGTGCTTCGACTTCAACAAGTCCTCTGGCTGCCGGCGCCGAAATTGCAGCTTCCCCCACGTGTGCCGCCGCTGCTTCCAGCACCCGCCCCGCTCCGGAATGCATCCAGCCACAGCCCAGCAGCGCCAACAAGGCCCCAAGACCTAGCGACCGCAGCAAGAAGTAAAGTGGAGCAGCAACAGCTTAATCACAAGCTTTTAGTATCCTCGCCTATTGACATTTATCGTTTAGAGTTAGAATTAGCCACTCATCCTAATAGACACTTTGTATGTAATCTGCTCAGTACGCTCAAGGAGGGCGCTCGCATCGGCTATACAGGGCCGCGTTCAGACCTGGTCTCCCCGAACCTCATTTCGGCAGCACAGCACCCTGAAGTCGTTTCTTTGAATTTGCAGAAGGAAATAGCCCTGGGAAGGGTAGCAGGTCCCTACCCCTCCACCCCGTTACCTAAGTTTCAATGTCATCCGGTAGGCGTTATCCCCAAAAAGCACTCAACTGAATGGCGCACTATTTACCATCTCTCCTTCTCCCAGGGTACTAGCATTAACGACCACATTCCTAAAGATCCCTACTCTCTAAGTTATGTACGGGTTGACGATGCCATCCGTATCCTGGGAAGGGGAGCTTTTATGGCCAAAACTGATCTCAAATCAGCCTTTCGTCTGATACCTATTCATCCGGACGACTGGAACTTACTAGGCATTTATTGGCAATCCCAATACTATGTAGACATGTACCTACCCTTCGGGCTCCGTTCGGCCCCGTTCCTCTTTAATCAGTTGTCCGACGGTCTCGAGTGGATCCTTAAAAATAACTACGGCATCCAGCATGTTATTCACATTCTGGACGATTTCTTTATTGCCGAGCGAAACAAATCAGACTGTTTAACCAGCTTTAGTACTCTGTTAAGGGTATTCATGTCACTTAAAGCCCCGGTAGTCGCTTCCAAGACGATAGGCCCCTCCCGGTAGATTGAGTTTATGGGTATTATCTTAGACAGCGTCCGCATGGAGGCCCGCTTGCCCCAGGACAAACTCATCAGGATCAATCAGCTGCTCGACTCCTTCGGTTAGTGCGCCTGGTCGAGTTACAGTCACTGATCGGGACTCTTCAGTTTGCATGTAAAGTAGTGGTGCCGGGTAGGACCTTTCTACAGCGAGCGATCAATTTGATCAGGGGGGTCCCCAGTCGTTTTCACCACATAAGGCTGAATAAGGAATTCTTTAAGGACCTAGTCATGTGGAAAATTTTTTCTCTCCAAATGGAATGGGCGCTCCTTTTTTTCTCGAGTCTACTCCTACCCCTGCTCAAAATCTCGAGCTATACACCGACGCTGCGGGCTCTATAGGCTTTGGGGATACTTCCAGGGCAGGTGGTTTCAGGGGCCATTGGCCCCCGAAAATGCAGTTGAACCAACAACAGGCAATTAGTATTGAATGGCAAGAGCTCTTCCCCATCGTTGTTGCCTGCGCCATATGGCACCCTCTTCTCGCCGGAAAACGCCTTCAATTCTGGTGCGATAATTTATCTGTGGTATCTATTACAAATTCAGGGCATTCTAAGATCCCCCGCATTATGGATTTGGTTAGACGTCTCGTCCTTCTTTCCATGCAGCACAACTTCGTAGTGCGAGCTCGTCACGTGCCTGGGGTTTCAAACGCAATTGCTGACGCACTCTCCCGATTTCAGATGCAGCGCTTCCGGGTCCTTGCCCCCGACGCCGACCAGAATCCTTGTACCATCGCGCCTTCGCTCATGACCCTCTGAGGGAGGAAGTCCTAAGGTACGCTACCTGGGGTCTTGCTGAAAACACAAATCGGGCCTGCAGCTCTGGGGAAAAACGGTTTTTACAATTTTGCCTTATGAATCGTATCTTCAGCTCAGACGGGGATGTGTTACCTGCCTCCGAAGGGACCCTTATATACTTTGCCTCCTACCTAGCGAGAACAGTACGGCATAGTACCATTAAACTCTATTTAGCCGCCTTTCGCAACCTTCACGTGACAGTAGGATACCCTGATCCCCTTAAAGGCAAGCTCCTTCTCGGCAAGGTTTTGCGCGGCATTCTTCACTATCAGGGCAACCAGCGCGCCCGTCGCCTACCTGAAACCCCTGAGGTTCTTCTTGCAATTCGTCCTGTCTTGCAGTCATGGCTTAGTTCCCGGGATTCTTCTATGATCTGGGCCGCGTTCAACTTAGCCTTTTTCGCTTTCCTGCGCTGTAGCGAATTTACCTACAGCGGGGTTCGCAAATTTCGCCAACAATTCGATCTTTCTACCGATTGCATAACGTTTCACCCCAGCCTGGCCTGCCTGCAGCGCATAACAGTATATCTAAAATCGTCTAAGACAGACATGGCTAGGGAAGGTCAGTCACTCACTATAGCTCGCACCTCGACGCCCCTTTGCGCAGTTACAGCTATGGAAGAGTATTTTCTCTTAGTTAGGCCTCGGCATGGACCTTTGTTTTACTTCACATCAGGTCGTTACCTCACTTGGGGCATCGTATCCGACCTCCTTAGGGATAGTGCTAGGGTGGCTGGCCTCCCTTATCAAAGCCTAAAAGGGCATAGCTTTCGCATCGGTGCGGCCTCCGTTGCAGCCGCCGCCGGCTTGCCAGATTGGCTTGTAAAAGTTCTTGGTCGCTGGTCCTCGGACTGTTACCAGCTGTATATCAGAACTCCTCAATCTACAATCTGTGGCTCCCAGGATGGTTATTGTTCCTGGACGCTTCCAGCCAATATAGCCTCCTTTTTTTTTCTACTTGTTGATTCGTTTTCTCGTTGGGCTTGGGGGGATGCATTGCCTCGCATGCATCAGTGGCGGTTAATTCTGCGCAGCGACTTCCCCCAAGCTTGTTGGCGTTTAATATCACCTACAAACCGATACTCTTGTCCGATCCAGCACGTACTGTATTGCATTCAGCTCGTAGTGCTGGGGAGATAAGTGAGGTTCTTTGGTCACGCCATCGCCGGAAGTCGCATTAGGCTAACCTAGCGCAAGGCAGTGCTCCCCCATTAACGCCAACTTGTCATTATTTGTTTTTTATAATTTAGTTATGCGTTTAACATGCATCGCGAAGGAACAGAGACATTAAAAGCTATTTTACTGTCGCGCAAGTAAAATGTAGTTGATGGAACGTGACGCCAGTTATCAGTAACCCTTTCATGGCGGTTCCTTCAATAAAGCAGTTGTGTAGTCAAGCTGCCAAGGTCAGCAAGCTCTAAGATACATTGTATTCTAGCGTAGAACTTTACGGCCTTGTTGTCTTTAGCATGCTAGTACGATCCACAACATTGGCCAACTTTTTCAATGCACTATTCATAGCTAAGAGTTCGCACGTGCAACGCTGAGCTGTCTTGTAGTAAAGCCTTTTCTACTGGCTATGCCAGCAGACGTTTGTGTAGCTATAAAAGCCTAGAACAAGTGTTCAGAGTTCACTTGGCTTCTGTTATTCAGCAAGGTTAGCGCTGAGTATACGATTCTTGTAAAATTTTTCCCTCCCTCCCTCCCTTTGGAGACGAGGTTTGGGCTTTGTTTTGTGCTATGCGGTCAAATAAACTAGGGACACTCCTGCGCCGTGCGGTTAAGTCTGCGCAGCGACTTCCCCCAAGCTTGTTGGCCGCGTTGCCGTTTAATATCACCGGCAAACCGATACTCTTGTCCGATCCAGCACGTGCTGGATTGCATTCAGCTCGTAGTGCTGGGGAGATAAGTGAGGTTCTTTGGTCACGCCATCGCCGGAAGTCGCATTAGGCTAACCTAGCGCAAGGCAGTGCTCCCCATTAAAGCCAACTTGTCATTATTTGTTTTTTATAATTTAGTTATACGTTTAACATGCATCGCGAAGGAACAGAGACATTAATTATTATTATTATTATTATTATTATTAAAGATAGCACTAAAAGTTTTGGCCTTTTTTTTCGTGTCTTTAATATAGAATAAGGGAAGGAAACATATACTTGAAATTTAATAAACTGATGTGTTACTGTGGCATGCACCTGCGTGCTTCTCAATTGATAGAGCTGTCAAAATGCGACAGTCATTAATACGCCGTTTTAGTCAGTCAGGTGATTGCATTTTAATTTCCCTAAAAAGTTTGACGTTCCAGAATTTTCCGCTTAAGGGTGGATTTTCATTGTCGTATAATTTTACGGGCGTACACGCGTTAAATGTAAATTTTACTGGCGAAAATAACATAGAGGCGAGGTAATGTATATTCATACATTGCCTCTATCTTATTTTCGTTAGTAAAATTTAAATGCGTATGCACGTAAATATTACTCTACAGTGGTAATCCACTTTAGGGGGATATTTTTTTGTTGATCTTGCCCCCTAGGGTCAAGCGTTTAGTGACTAGTCACTTTCCAGCCAATTTTTTTTCAGCAGCTTAACTTACAAAGAAACAGAAAACTCAAGCTCGCTGAGTAGCCTTCTGTAGGTTCAAGGGAATATTTTCCCCTTCACTTCTCTCCGCATATTGGGATGTAATTTTAGTACAACACGCGGATTCGTACTTGGTTAATTTTGCCGAAAAACGCGTTTTGAAGCTAGTCGAGTGGTTTTCTGGTCACTGTCGTGCTATAAAGAGCTAAAACTTACCACAAACTGGTTTACAGGTCGAACACTTCGCGGCCTTCTGACCCAGATGCAAAATATCAGCTTGCGAAGTTCGGGCATGCGCAGAAAGCACAATTTCGTTTTTGGGTTTAAAAGTGACACAGCAGTCTCGATTTTTACTTTTCGCTTTCTCTCCTCCCTTCTTTTTTCGCTTTTCTTGCCTCATTTTTTTTTCTTTTGCTGGGCATTTAGTAGGCTTCATTTTGGTGGGAAGAGTTTTTAGGAAAGCGTTTAGGATCTTAGGATTAGGTGAAAGGAAAGGTAGGCGGGTAATGGAACAAGATTTTCATGGAGATTTTCAGGTCAATGTCAGGTGGTCTTTTGCTTGTTTCTCCGGTGTCCTGGACTAAATTGTGCTCATTCTGGTATGGTTTGAAAGATCTCTACACTCTGCACAAGTTAGCGAAGAAAGTTGTCCTTGACCGTTAAAACTGATGACGTCACAATGGGTAGAAAGGACCTGGATCCGCACGGGCGGTTACGGGCGGTTCAGGGGCGAATGGGTTAAAGATGTATATAGTAATCCTAACTTCTGCTTCATTTCAGTTTTCGCAAAGATTTATTTGTCAGAATACAACTTTGGTTGTGTCATCACTCCAATAAGGACGAACATCACCAATGAAGCTCTTAACTGCTCCTTTAGTGGTCTCACTGTCGAAGCTGTAAACTGGACGAGAAATGGACGACATATAAAAGAAGATTTCAACAAAACTTGGTCAGCGATAATTGTTAACAGCAGTTCCCATGACCAGGTTATCGGGAAGTTCAAGTGTATCGGAAAGCGAGGTCATAACTTGTTTTCATGCTCGGCTTATCCAAGTAAGTTGAAATTTGAAGATAAATTGCGTTAATCTTCATTCAAAATATTTCGCAGTTTCTGGATGATAAGCACAAATCCCCTGGCTATTTCTTTATAAAAGCCTCCCTTCTAGATCTTTTGCAAAGTTGGAAGGTGTATAGTCAATATACAATGGAGGCGTTGAGTTATTGCCAATAATAGGAACTTCGCCCAGGCAGCGGCGCGCAACGCAGCACGCCAGCGAAGGATCAATCTAGGTTTCTGGGAAACTGCCCCAAGCCAACATTTCGGCCCTAAGTGAGAAGTAAGTGATAATGTTGACATAGGGGAGGGGTGGGCGGTCAGTTTCCCTAAAAACCTAAATTGATCCAAAAAGAATTTCTAGAAAGAAATGCACAAATACGCAATTCATATTACTCGATGGATGTCGAGTGATACTTTTTGAGGAGTATCTGCAATGAACTTAGAAATATTTGGAATTGAATTCGGCTTTCATATGATATGGGCCGAGATGAACTGCTGTTAATTCAAAGGCGGAGTAACTAAATTTCTGAGTAAAACTGAACGGA